ACAAGAGAAGAGTGAAGAGGGTTAACTAAACTGAAGATTGATGAATTTTTTTGGAAGTTATATTGTAGGTGGTCACTAACAGTATCTATATTTAGCTAGACCTGTAAAGATCAAGACTTTGCTTAAATTATCTTGTGGGGTTTGGTTGTTGGCTCAACAGTAGAATTTTGTTGCAAAATTTTGTCTTTTTAAGACTCAAAGAATCCTTAATTGCTTCTGTTGATATACTTGTGGAGCCCCTGCATCAAAGATCAAGATTATGCAACCTTTATGTACTACATGAACCCTAGATTAAGTTTTTGGGGTTTTCTGTTTATAATTTTTGGTGATTCAACGAGTAGATCGATCGATTGTAACAGAATTCAGTGTCGTTTGGTCAGGTGATTGGTTTTCCTGTTCGGTTGGTGCGAATTTCATACCTCATATCATCAATGTTAACGCCGGGGAGGTAACAAATCATGGGTCTTGTTCGTGTTTGATCATTTAAAGAAAAAAAAATGAAGATGTGATATCATGTGGGTCCCGTGTACTTTTATAAATTTCGTTACAATTTGGTCGAATATATAGGATGTGACGATGAAGGTTATATCGTTCTCTCAACAAGGACCTCGGGCGATATGTATTCTGTCGGCAAATGGTGTGATTTCAAGTGTAACGCTTCGACAACCGGATTCTTCTGGTGGTACTTTGACATACGAGGTACCCATTTTTTTGTTATTTGTAAAAACAGTTTGTAAAAAAGGGTTAATGAATTCATCATTCTAATATCTGAAATGTGTTTTTGAAGGGGCGTTTTGAGATACTTTCTTTAGCTGGTTCGTTTATGGCATCGGAGAGTGGAGGGATACGAAACCGATCTGGTGGAATGAGTGTTTCCTTAGCGAGCCCAGACGGTCGTGTTGTTGGAGGTAGTGTTGCCGGGCTACTCGTAGCTGCGAGTCCTGTGCAGGTACTTGTTTTCCATTTTTGATTGGCAAGCTGACGTGATGTATATATATATATATATATATATATACACACACATGCATAGGGTCATGTTCGGTGGAAAAACATGAAAAAATGAAAATCTAAGAAACACCTTGATAATAATTCATTCGGATAGTATACACATGTGCATACAATGAAATTGTTTCTTGGTTTTTATGCACATGTGCATACCAGACAAATTGCTTACCAGACAAATTGCTTACAAATTACTTGTATGCATATGTACAATGAATGGTTACCAGGTGTTCCTTAATTTTTCATTTTTTTTGTGGTTTTCTCCTCTAGTGTTGGGCCCCGGTGAGAATGAAAGGTATGAAAAGGGTAAGAAGAGATCTTCATTCTTGGATCAATCATAATTATGATCAATTTCCGTATCAAGCAAAATTCATGTGATGGGGGTTGACTTTAAAACTGATCAAGGGTTGAAATCTTTTCTTTGCACTTCTCGCCTTAACTTCCAGTATCACAAGATCGTTCGTCTATATATATATGTATGGTAATTACTTAATCGGGGGTGTATCAGATTGTGGTAGGAAGCTTTTTGACGGGGAACCAGCATGAACAAAAAACTGCCAAGAAACCAAAAGCGGAGGCCGGACCACCACCTGCCGTTGCAATTCCGACATCAGGTGGAGGTGGTGGAAGTGGGGATACCGAGGAGGAGGAGGAGGAGGCGGCGGCATACGGGGTGAAAATGAAGGTGTCATCAGCAGGAGCAGCAGTGTCGTCGTTTAGAGGAGGAGATAATTGGTACAATAACGAGAAAAAGGCGAGTGAAATGAATATGAGTGGAGCCGTAAACAAATAAATAGATAGTTGGAAATAATAGGAGGGTAGGTTGCATAGGAGCCCATTTGTGTTTCTTTGGATGTAAAATCAGTGGATGATTCTATTGAGTCTTATTAATTATTACATCACTTGTTCACTTCATCTTTCCGACGTGGCACGGGTCACTGTTTCGTTCTTCAACCGTAGAGTGAAAAATTATACGGTTACCGTATATATTTTGAAACTATAATGAGAATACAAGTTTTTCGTAGTAGAGTTGATTTGCAAGACTTTTCTTCCACCTTAGACCTGCGCTAGAGACTATTAGTGTCATTTTCTTATTTTTTGTCTTCTAATTTCAGATTTATTATGTTTCTAAAAAACTTGCAAGTAGAAGACTTTATCAGATTTTACATATGAAAATCAATGAACTAACCACTAGGCAAATGTAGATTTTGTGTCATCGCTTGAAACAGTTTCTAAGTTTGTCTCTGTTTCACGGATCTCACGAAAATGAAATGGTTTTATATAATCATATATATAAATTTTGGTCTTTTAGGTTTAGTTAAAAAAAAATCTGAAAGTGAGACATTGACAACAACATAAAAGTGCGAAAGAGTCAACAAATGTCTAAACCTTGACAGCATAACGAGTTCACATACTTAACACTAAATAAATAAGAGAAAACTCTTATAAAACTAAAGATAAAACTCTAAAGATAATATTATTGGTCAATGATAAACTGACTAACAATGAAAACAATAAAACCTATCGATATTAATTCTAAACCAACTAGGAAAGTAAATAAATAGTTAATAAAAGTAAAACTAAAACCAACAAATAATCATCCTAAGCTAATTAAAAAACAAAATAATCAAATATAAACAATCTGTATATGACTTGTAAGAACACGCTCGTGACCTGATACGCGACCCACTTTTGATCCAAGTCACGTAAGCGATTGTGTTCCAACTTTTGATCCAAGTTTTTAGGCTTCTTATGAGCTTGTTTTCTTATTTTCAAAAGAGTTGCAAAATACCACGTTAATCATAAGACGTGAACTTTAATAAATTCAACTCGCTATGTGAGCTGATTAATTCCAGGGTGACTACTGTTTCACAAGTAGCCCGGAATTACCGCATTTGAACCTTTGTGATTACAAGGAGATTTTTATTCCTTCTTAGATTTGAATATGGAACCTCCAGACACTTTTGACCTCTGGAGTTCAAGCTCAAACCTATCAGACACCACATTTAGACTTTATGGTTTTAAAATATCATTCTTGTGACTTTTAATTTGCTCTTAAAAATGATCCCTAATTATTAATTCCATTAAGAAATTCAAAAGATGTTTTAGTTAGTAGATGGGAATTTCATACTAATATTTTGAATTGGTTTTTCCAACACCACATTCATCAAAAATCCAACAAGTTTTTGCATACCAGACATATGATTTTGAAGTTGCGGCCCCATCATTCAAACATAAATAATCCGTATATCACTGATGAAATTACCATCAATTTAAATCAGCGCTCATCAAGAATTCTCGTCAAGTCACAAGTCTTCCTATTACGTTATGCCAAAATGCACAACCACTGTGGGCATTCATTCCTATGCCGGGGCCAGGGGCATGGCAGATGAAAACGAGTATCTCCTCTAGATGGAAGAAGATTCTCTTTCAAAAGTAATTTGGTACCTCTGCCATTCGCAACCCTTTCAAATCTAACGAAGACAACCATCATCATCTTCATATTTTCCATCATCCTCTCCGCCAATTCCGCTTCCACTTCCTCAGTACTTGACGCCTAAGGAAAAAACCTCTGGTCAGGGGTGGGTTTGAGATTAAACGGCGAAAGCGGCGGACTCTTCCCGGCCAACAACTCTTGCCCTCTCGGCGTTGCGCCAACCGTTGACTTTCACCCCCAGTCAACCCCAAAAAAAGGCATAATCCGGCTTTCCACGGACGTTAGCATCAAATTCTCCAGCTACAACGCCTGCAATGGATCAAACGTATGGAAGCTGGTATACGATGAAGATATGAAGCAGTTTGTGGTGAAGGTGGGAGGTGTAGAAGGAAACCCTGGACAGAAAATAGTGGATAATTGGTTTAAGATGGAGAAAAGTGGTGGTGAAGATGGTTATAAGTTTGTTTTTTGTAAGGTTATCTGTAGGGATCTGGGAGTGTCTGTAGATGGGACGGGAGTGCGACGATTGGCAATCAGCGCTGATCCATTGTTGGTCATCTTCTACACTAAGGGGCCGTTTACCAAGCGCTTACCTAGGTAAGTGCTTACCAAGTCACATTACCTTACCGGATGAACATGATAAAGACCAAGAATCTTACCTGGTAAGAGCGAGACAAGGACCAAAAGTCTTGTCCAGTAAGTGAGGACTGAGGACAACGACTCTTATCACGGTAAGCGCTTACTAGGTAAATTGTTGCGTACGGTATCATTTTGGTAAACTAAAATCTTACCCGGTAAGGAAATGATAGTGTAAAATTTTACCAATAAACACTTATCAGGTAAATGTTTGGTAAACGGACCCAATCAATCACTTATGTTTAAGTACTAGTTACATATGTAAACAAGAATCCTCCTCAATCTTCTATCTATATTTATATTTATGTAAACTATATTTAAAGTATATTAGAGAAAACTTATTAGAGAAAACGAAGACGGTCAAATCACATGTAAAATCACATATGATTTTACACTAAAGGTCAATGTAAGGGTTTATGAGCGACATCCAACGTAGCCTGTGACCAAAGTCGCGTGAATCATATATGATTTTATATGTGATTTTCGTGTAAAATCACATGTTATTACACCATTTTCTTATTCTCTTATTTAATTATTGTTCTTGTATGAACGTCACAATCTCTCTCCCTCTCTCTCTCTCTCTCTCTCTCTCTCTCTATATATATATATATATATATATATATGTTTTGGGATCATGTGAAAATAAGAATTAAGATTAGAACATGTGAATAAAATCTTCATTAATTATTTTATTTCTATTATGATGACATAAACTTTACTAACAAATTAATGTATGAGAAAGTGATTAAAAATGCGTAAAGGTTAATGAACGTGAGTGAAATTGAAGTTATGATTAAGGAAGTCACTTCAAGGACCATGTTTTTTGTAAGCAATCAATTAAGAATAAATGAATGTTTGCAAATTTTATAGTGGTTATATTAAAAAATTAACTACGGTTTAGAAGTATTATTACCAAAAGTTCTATTCTCATCAACCAAACTCTATATATGTGTGCATAGGATTGAGTTTCGGCGAGAATGAGAGTTAAGGCGAGAAACGTAATAAGAGATCTTCATCCTTGAATGCATATTAGGATGAGATGCATCGAATCAATCTCCATATCAAGTGCTTTTATGGATGGGTTTGAGATCAAAGACAATCAAGAGTTCAGATCTCTTCTTACACTTCTCATTTTAACTCTCATTCTCACACGATTCTCGCCTATATGTGTGTGTATATATATTATGTGTATATATATATATATATATGTTTGTGTGTATAGTATATACATATGCATCTATGCATAGACAAACAAGAATGAATTTTTTCACATAATCCCAACTCATTGATGGGTAATGATTACTGATTCATATGTTATCATAATGAAATTAATTACTACACTAAATATGAGCAAATACAAACTTTTTGTTACATTATAATGACACGTGGTATTTTTTTTAAAGACTATCAAATTTTGTTATATTTTTCTAAAGCTTTCGGGTATATTACTTGCATCATTTGATCACTCTTTTATTCAAACATGTTTATATGTTTAATTAATTTTACAATAAAAATATAAAAATCATCAAGCTTAAACCAATAAACAAGTTATTCAATCGCGAGTTCGAATCCATAAACGAGTATCGAGCTCGAGGTTGGTATTAATTTTTCGAGCAGATCTCGAATAACCTACTACTCAGCTCGGCTCGTTTACATCCCTGGTGCATGTGCAGGTGTGTATTTTTACCTCAATTAATCCTAAGGGTTCTTGGAGATAAGCTTGAGAAATCCCAACGGCCTTATAGGGACTCGAAAGGTAACCTAGACAAAAAAAACCCAAAAGACCCACGTCTTATCGTCAATGTGTGTAATGTGTTTAAGACAACAACTCAATATTCACCTAGAGGGTCGTCGAGGACTATAAGACCAACGGGCATGGATACACTTCAACCATCGATGATCGTTGGACTTGGAATCAATCTGAAGTTACCTCCATTACTGGAAACTTGTTCTTTATAGACTTCACATTCACGAAGCCGTTTATCAAACTCTTACCCGGGTAAGCACTTACTAAGTCACATTACATTACCGGATAAATATGGTAAGGACCAAGAATCTTACCGGTAAGAGCGAGACAAGGACCAAGAGTCTTACCCGGTAAGTGAAGGCGATGACTCTTACCACAGTTGGCGCTTACAAGGTAAATCGTTGCATACGATGCCTTTTTTGTTGACTAAAATCATATCCAATAAGCAAGTGAGAGTTTTGAATTTTACTGATAAACGTTTACGGGATAAACGTTTGGTAAACCACACCTTATTTTAAGTCCAATAAAGTGATCCTTATGAATTGACCCTATGTGCCACATGTATTATTAAACGTAGAAATTATTATTTGTTGGCCTCGAGTCTTCACAACCATCACTTTATCTCAGTCAACCCCTTTCCCGGTCCCACGACCATCATTAGTTCACGGTGTCCTAGGAATAAGTTTTCGTATTAGGATTTTGGGCAACTCGTATTCTTCCTCGAAAGTCCATGCAGCCTTAACGAAATGCTAGATAACGAAGAACACACAGGGAGAAATCAATGCTTTAATGATTCTTAGACTCGTATGCTTCGAAATCTAACAACTTCCTAGGTTTGTCTACATGATCCCAAGAGTAATGCATCAAGAATGTTCTAGACTAGAAGCATGTATGTCCTAGAATGCCATGGAGAACACTAAATATCCATAAAACCACATCCTTCCATAGAGAATACTATGGGTCTGTTTGTTAGCAGCTTAATGAGCTTACTGGGACTCACAGCTTATTCGATCAGCTATACATGATTGTTTGATAGTGGCTTAATGATATAAAAGTGATATATTCAGTAAGCTTCTAGAGGAAAGTTTTATGCAAAAAGAGTCTTTTCCAAACTTGTCCCTCCCAATTAAAAAACACGCTCCTTCCATCTATGAAAAAACTATCCCAAACAAAAACGTTCTTAATTTATACAGAGAGATTAATCCACATAGACAGCTTTATCCATAAATGATTAATGGAAAACCAACCAAACAGCCCCCATGTTGGCTAGTGGCTACATGTTGGCCATAAATCAAACTAAACGAACATAGTAAATCCCACATGGAATTTAGGAAAATATTCCAAATTATTGTACCTCAATCAAGGAATGCCCATTGAATAATTATTCTTCAAATTAAAACTAGTATTGGACTGGAAACTGAGCTAGAAGGTAACAGGAACAAGTTGTGACATATGAGGTAGACCACATGCGAGCTAGAATGTAAAAGGAACAAGTTTGTGACATATGAGGTAGACCACATGCCCAATGAGAGCATTTTATGGTACATGAAGCTGGAAAACAATCTAGTAATCTAAAATGTATCACTTGGCGTTGAACCCATAATTTCCAAAGCCCAAGAAACAAAAAAAGAATGTAAAATAGAAGGCTAACCAAGACCTGTACCAGCCTCTTTCCTTGGTGCATCAGCCTTTATACGGGGAGGCCTAACAATTCTATCAATCAGCCCATACTCCAAAGCTTCTTGAGCATTGAACCGCTTAATTCGACTTAAGTCCTTGTAAACCTGCAATTAAAGCAAAAACCTACTGAATAAGGGAAAGCCAAAAGATTGCAAATACCGAATGAGGAGAGAGAAAAAAAAAACTAGCAAGAACAGCTTAGGGCTTGTTTGTTAGCCACTTAATGAGCTTAATGAGACTCGGAGCTTATTCGGTCAGCTATACATGACTGTTTGGTAGTGGCTTAATGATATAGAAAGTGACTTATTCGGTAAGCTTCCTGAGGGAAGCTTTATGCAGAAAGCCAAGTTTTTTCCAAACTTGTCCCTCCCAATTAAAAAACACGCTCCTATCTAGAAAAAGATTCTCACAAACAAAAACCTTTCCATTTTGTCCATACAGAACTTAATGAAAAAACCAACCAAACAGCCCCTTAGTGGAAGAATTCCATACTATACCTTCTCCACAGGTTGACCTGTCTTTTGAGCCAACTCCTTGAAAAGATAATCTCTAATTCTCAGAAGTTCATTTGCTTCGTTTTGAATATCATCAGCCTGTACAGCATCATTTGGTAAGAAAATGATAAACACGAAGAAAGGATTAGGCTATATTGGCAATAACTATATCTATTAATTGTAAGCCTTTCTTGACATATGTTCAAACCTGACCACGAGCTGTTCCAGCTGGCGACTCTAAAGCAATTCTTGAAAGTGGCATTGTGAAGCGATGACCCTTAACAATTCAGGATCACAAAAAACACAGATCATTGATCAGAATCCATCACAAAAACTATTTATTCGTACTAATATTCGGCATCAAAAACACATTGCTAATTGTAGGCATGATCATCTCAATACATTGTGTGATGTTCTTGTAATGAGTTCAAATATAGCTACCATATCAATTTACTTCATTACATTCTGTGTATTCCTTCTGAGGAACATAAATTACCTTTTCTCCAGCTGCAAGGAGAAAGCCAGCCAGATTATACGCATATCCCACACAGTGGGTGCCAATCGGACTTTGCAAGCTTTGCATCGTATCATAGATGGCCATGCTTGGAGTAAGCTGCAAAAAGAAGGAAAGTCGAAACATATAAACATCTAGGCAGCAATACAGAATTGGAGTATGGATTATAACTTTTCCAAGGGAAAACAAGAAGAAAGAACTCACATCTCCACCGGGACCATTAATGTACATATACATTCTTTTAGAATTGTCCACACTGTCAAGATACAACATCGTTGCCAGTACTTGGTTACTGAATTCTTCATCTATATCTTGCCCAACAAAGATAACACGTTCGCGATACTGCACCAACCATTGATTAAATAGAGAAGTAAATATCAGCTCATTTTTGGGAAATCTTCATTTTATTAAAAAAGATTGCATAAAATGTTCTATATCCATGATTGTAGAAAGAAAAGATGACAACTTACAAGGGCATTCCACAAATCAACCCACTGCCATGTTCCTTCACCGGGAACCCTATAGGGAACTCTTGGAGTCCCTATCGGCATCATTACAATGCGTCCCCGTGCTGGCTTAATGCCAGTCCTGTAATTAGCAGTAGATCAATTTAGAAAACTAATGTGTACAGTGTATATCATAACAGTTGATAACTTTTCATACATAATACTGATATGAACCACAAGTATGAGCAACGTCATACACATGGTGAAAAAGAGAAGGGGAAGAACATGGTTGAGGGTGAGATACCGTATTTTATCAAGCCTTCAAAGAGTACGGCCAGTAATGGTAGTATAATAAACGGGCACACTTCAAAAAACACATTTCAGGCAGTGGAAGCAAACTGCTCCCCTTGAACAGCTCAAATGAATTGATTTGTGATGACCTCAAAAGAAAAATCATTCAAAATCCTACCTCAATGACAAATACATGAAACTGGATTGCTGATGAAAGCTTGAAATTAGGTCATAGAAAGGTAACTCTGACTCACGATGTCAAAGCTAATACTTCACATATACAGAACTATAACGGATTTTCTTTCCAATTTAATCACCGTTACAGTTCTATTTGTAGAGCTTCGTTAAGATTAAGTTTGGCACATTTGACGAATTTCTTTTATCAATCTTTGAAAGTGAAAGTCACTTGTTTGACATCCAAATCCAAAAGTGCATCTCAATGTTTGGAACCAATACAGTACGAAATTTGGTTTAATGGCCATAGGATTGAAGCATAGATTCAAATACAAAACTCAAATACAGGAATTATCGGATTCGTCTCTTTTTCTATTTCGTTTATGAACATATACCTGGGCTCAATACTTTTATGAATTTTTTTGTGCAATTCAACACTCAAATTAGGTCTCGAAATTCCAAAAGAATCTGCACAGAAAACAAATTAGTTAACCAAAAGAACGAAGATAAGAGGAAGTAACGGATGAAAAATCTCACTAGGATTTTGAAGCCTTAATCCGACGAAAACCTTGTCACCGGAGCTGTCGATTAAGCAACATGAGACAGTTAATTGAAAGCCTTTATGGCAATTAATATCAAGGAATTAAGTGTTGATGTGAGAGCTGACCTGAGCGAAGAAGGCTGAGATGGGTGTAAATATGAGGAACAAGTGATGGAATTGAGAGACACCGCCATTGTTGCAAATTACGAACAGCATATGAAGATTATGTTGAAGGGACGCATTTTGTGTTGGACGAAAAATGCGGGTCGGATCTTCCTTTGTAATCAGATAGGAATGGAGCATTATACCGGGTACATTTGTTTTTTCCTATTCAGCATGACTACTTTTGGTCAGGAGCTTAACTTGAAGCGGTTTATTCAATCGATTATACACGAATATTTGACTTACTGTCAAGTTTTTTTAATTTTACTTCTCCCAAATTAAAAAAAAAAGCGTTAATTTCATTTAAAATAAATTATAGATTTGTCATATGCAAATTACATATTAGATCCTTTAAACGAAATAATTATACATAGCATTACTATGGTTTTAGTTTTGTTGCTGATTGGGTTCCGACTCCATTAACTACAACTATGTTAAGCCGGAGGTATTTTGGTCTATTTATTAGTAAAAAACAAATTTAAAATATTAATCAATATTATATCTCAGTCGAGCATCGTCTTCCTCGGCCCTTCTTCATTATATTCATTGCAACAGCCGATTCTAATTTACACACCTCCTCCTTCCCTTCATGGATTTGTAGCTCCCTTTCTCCCGAAAATTCATCCAAATGTCAGAATGGAGATCAATTTTGTTGTTGTTGTTGTTGTTGACTATGGAGATGGGGATGATGGTGATTATGTTGTTGTTGTTGTTGTCGACTATTGCAACTGTTGTTGACGATGGAGTTGAAATAACCACGAGGAGTTATGTCGATATCATGAATGATTTGTTGCTACTATCGTTGGCTGGTTATTGTTACTGTTGTAAGTGACGATTTGCGGTTTACTACTGTTGTTAATGATGGGGAGGCTATTGTGATGGACTTTTCGAGAGATGATGGAAGCAGGTGAGGTTGGTGACCAAACGATGGTTTGTGATGCGCAAAGAGGTGTGGGGGATGTTAATAATATACACGCACATGAAATCTCCAAAGAACTCCGGGCTCCTCCCCCATCTCCTATGAAAGCCCATTCTTTCCGTCGACCAAACCCGAGAAAATGATTATTAATTAGAGAAACTCCGATTCATCAATCGGTTTGACAAGAGATCGACTCCGATTAATTGATCGATTTTACAAGGGACTATGATTCATTAAACGATTTCACAAGAGACCGAATCATTGTTCGATTTTACAAGAGACTACGATTCATCAAATGATAATCGATTTCACAAGACTCTCCGATTCAGATTACTCCAAGGACATCTTCGAATCCAGGGATCACGGTATCATTTTTTCTCTCGTTTCTCTTGCTATTGAAATATCTTCAATTGGCAGTGTATTTGGTCCCATTGTGACAAATATCTTTAATTGGCAGTCTCTCGGTCCCGATGTGACAAATATCTCCAATTGGCAGTCTCTCGATCCCAATGTGGCTGATCATTCCCTCAGACCAGCTACTGATTCATCAAACAAATTCACTAGATTTCATCATCATCGATCAATTCCATTACAATTTAATAAAAAAAAGTTGTTATACAAAACTCATGAAAAATCCATAACGCCTAATATCTAAATAAAAAAAACCTAATTCTAAATGCAACAATTTGAACATGAAGAAGCCATTCGATTCTTGAGATATTTGGTTTCAATCTCACCCGCCCACTACAAATACCCATAGAATGAAGAGTGGGGAGGAGGAGACTCGGTGTAGAGGTTTTTTTGCGACGATGGTAAGTGAGAAGAGGAGCAATGGTGACTAGTGGCGGATGCAGAAAAAATTATTGTAGGGGGTATGATTATGTTTTTACCCAATTTGGAGTAGTTGCAGAGTCGTAGTGCAGACGCCGAGACGCGGGAGGGACACCAGAATAGGCGGAACTGGAAGCAGGAAGTGAAGCAAGAAGCGGTGAAAGCAGGAAGCAAGAAGCGCCTCGATGAATGAAGGTGCAGGCGTGCAACAGTGTTCTTTCTTGAGCCTTCGACAGTCACGATCACGGTGGAATGATTGAGCGATGAAGGTGAAGGTAAAATGAATTATGGGTTGGGCTGGAGAGTGGGGCCTTCATGTTTATTTTATTGGGAGCCTGATCACATAGTCATAAAATCTATAAGTAAAATAAAAAAATTTGGGCTTTCTAGATTTGATTTTTTTGGGGGCCCAGAACCCCAACCCCATACATGTGCATCCGCCACTGGTGGTGACTAGCCAGGGAGGATGGAGCAAGTCGAGAAAAAGAGTGATGCGCCAATGGGACTTTCTGGGGGATGAGGGTTGTAGCCAATACACACGTATGTGTGTGTGTGTGTGTGTATATATATATAGAGAGAAATGTTTAAACGAGAATTTTAATTATTTAAGAAAATAAGAAAAAAAATCTTTAATATACAAAATCACATATGATTTTACATTAACGTCAAAAAAATGGAAGTAGACGACTTTTGAACCTATATGATTTTGTACGTGAATATATGTATATCTGAATCATGTATGATTTTATACGTAAATATATATATATATATATATATATGTGTGTGTGTGTGTGTGTGTGTGTGTGTGTGAATCATGTATAATTTCATACATGAATCACGTATGATTTTGTATATTAACAATATGTATCTTGTTTTCTTAAATAAATAGCTTTCTTCTTTGAATATCTATACTACATTAATAAGCATTTAAACCAAAATCTTAAGTACAAGTTTTAATGCATTGAATACAAGCTTTTAAAGCACAAAATAAAAAAAAAATCTCTTAATTACAAGGTTGTATGCATGATGTACAACTTATTAATACACTGATTTTTTACCACAACCAAAAATGGAGTCCTAAATTCCCTTTTCTTCTACAACAATCTCAAGAGCTCCCATTTGGTATAAACTTTCTTTTTTCTCCTTCCCATAAAGCTTTTTTTTCTTCAATATTCATTTTTACACTTAAATACCAACTGAAACACAATATACAAGTATCGTATGCATGTCTTGAATTCTTTAAAAACTTTTGAATCTTTTTGTCTTCACAAGATACTAAAATTTCTGGTTGCTTTCACATTTTTGGTCCAACTCTATTGATGTTCCGCCTCCAATACCATTTACGTTCCTCTTTTACTTTTTGTTTGAATTTCAAAATTCAAATGAAAGAACTAGTTTGTCATTATTTTATAGTATCCTCGTGATTCTTGCCCCATTTCAATTTTGCTTACCCGGTGCATTGCACAGATACACTGCTATATATATATATATAGAAGTTGATTATTATACAACCCTTGACATTTGTGCAACCAATACAACTCAATCTCAACCGTCCATTTCATTTGATGAATATGTGATTTCATAGAAGTTTTGATTGTTTCCTAATATAAAGTATTAATCATAATTAATGAACTATATTTATATTCCATAAATATTCAAATCATAATAAATGAACTCTCATCATTTTTRTAAATATCTCAATTAATTGGGTTGCAAGGATTGTACAAATACACAAGGTTGTAAAATAAATATACCCTATATATATATAATTTTTATTTTACAAAAATGTAATTAAAAAATATAAAATATCATATTGCCCCTCTTTTAAAGGAATCTATGTTAAGGGTGTTAGGTTAATTACTTAATATATGAAAAAGTAAGATATTTTAATTTTGGATAATGTATTTTTAAAATTTATATTTTGATATTTAAGATATAAAACTTTAAACATTTAAGTATCTGGGTAAGCAATTAAAACATTCACCGGTTAATGCTTTAACCGGTTAATACTGAGTTGGATGTCATATTAACATGGTAACCGGTTACCAAGATACTTAAATGTTTAAAATTTACAACTTAAATATTAAAATAAAAATTTTAAAAATATGTTACCCAAAATAAGAATCAAATTAAATTTCATTAACCTTTTCATACAATTTGCCCCATAATTTATTATTTCAACTATGAAAAACTCATCTAATAAAAAACGTTCTCGATTTATAGAATCCATTACGAACGCCAACCAACCTCCCCCTTAACGTTAGCGACTTAACTCAGAGGTATCGTCTCATTCGATCAGACTTCTATTCAAGGGTTAACATTTTACACGATTATAAGTCTCCGCAAATTGTCACTCTGCTCGTCTCGTCGACGCTGGTCGCTGCAATCGAACAGAAACCTTTGTTCTTCGCGGCTGTTTCCTGCTGCTCGTCGAAATCAGGTAATCCTTTTCAATTTGTTGTGGTCACGAGCACAATTAATAATAAATACGATTTGGGTGCGATTTGTGGGTACTTATCTAGCCTTTCTTCGTTGTCAATTTGCACTTGTCCATTTATTTGTAGTTTGTTGGTTTTTTTCTCTTTCTTTTTTTTCTCTTTGGAGTAATATTTATGTGGGTTTGATAGCTGCCTATGTTCTTTTTATCAAACATTTGCTTTAAGATTCGTATACTACCTGTTCGATGAAATGCTTAGAAGAAATTTTATGTGTATAATGTTAAAGCCAGTGCACTTGATGTTGACTAATGAATGAACTAGCATATATGTGAAGTTCAAAGATTTTCAGTCAGTGTAGTATGGAGCTTCGTAGTTTATAATACTTTATACAATCGAAGCCTAGGTTCAGAATACAAATATAATCCTTGGTTGTGATATTAGCTACAGTGCCAGATTGTTGCTTTCAAGTTGAACCCCAAATTTCGCTAATTTATTGTAGAAATTTAGGACTCTAGTTGCAGGTGTTGGCATGTGTATGCAAAGATTAGATTTTAATGCCAAAATTGGGCATACAACTACATGTCAGAGGTTAAACATTTCCGTTTTCAGGTTGTTGTAACGAAAACGAAGGCGCAAGATAAGAACTGGTATGGAAGAAACTATAGTTTTATGAAATGGATAACAACTGTTAATTTCTTTCATATACTTTGGATCAAGAGACATCTATCTATTCTAAAGAGCTAGCTTGTTTCTCATGGCCCTTTCCTGCTATGATATTTCAATTTTCCAATTATAAGTTGTTACCCATTTGAAAGAATTGCATTTCTTCCTTAGCTTAGGCCTTGGTGTTCTTTACAACAACCCGGGACAACGGACATGACTAACATTCATGTAAAACTGAAAACAAGTTTTCTTGGTGACGTATAACAAGAAGAATGGTGTTCCAAAGTATAGGTGGCAAAACGGGCAGGTTGCGTAACAGTCAAGATGGGTTAAGTTGACCCGCCGACGTTCTTTTCGTCTATTTTTCTAAGTTCATAAGTTATTAATATATTGAACATGAAAGAATTGTAGCCATGTTGAAACGAGCATGTTGGATGTCATATACACATGGAAGTGAGAAGACCAAACTCTGTTTGAAGGCCATTACAAGACATTTTCACAGCGGTCAGGTGTGTAGCACTTTTGATGCTTTTTTTAGAAACAATTAGCACAATTTTCTGAGGGTAAAGACCAGTTCTGCATACATCCCACCCCTAAGACCCCACCTCCGGATGGGATATACCAGGGTGGTTTGGTTTCGTTTTTGTTTGGTTTTAATTAACCCAATTTCTCACGTATTGTATTTCAAAATGCGGCTAGATTAGAGGAAGGGCAGGTTTATTAGCAGCTTAATGAGTTTAATGGGAGTCATAGCTTATTCAGTTAGCTATACATGACTGTTTGGTAGTGGTTTAATGATATAGAAAGTGGCTAATTTGTAAGCTTTTAAGGGAGCTTTATGCATAAAGCCAAGCTTTTTCCAAACCTGCCCCTCAATTAAAAAACCGCTCATTCCATCTATGAAAAAACCCTCTGAAACAAAAAGCTTCTCAATCTATATAGACAGATTAATCCACACAGACAACTTTATCCATACAAGACTTAATGAAAAACCAGCCAAACGGCTCCGAAGTTATGGTCACTCGGTAATAGGTTATTTTTATATCTAATTTCAGATGTACAGGACGCTTTCAAATGTGAACCGTAAATATTTTGAGAACCAATTATTCATGATTAATGTCATGATAGATATTCATAATGAATATACATGATATTCAGGGTTATTCATCATAAATAATAATTGAAATAGTTGGTTCCTAGATTCTTAAAATATGTATGGTTCTCATTTGAACATTCCTCCATATATATTTAAATGTGGAATCTTTTGAAACACAGAAGTATTGATTCTGCTTTAAATCATTCTTTTCTTGAAAATCAAATTGCAGCCTCATTCTGCAGCAAGAAGCTTTTTTGGAGTAGAGGACTTTCTCGACGATGATAACAGTCGACCATACACTTACCAGAAGGAAAAGAAGTCCAAGAATCCGAACAAACACATATCATTCAAACAACGAACAATAGCTTACATGGAGCCATTTACGCTAGATGTTTTCATCTCAAAACGGTTTGTTTCAGCCTCCCTTACTCACAGGGTGACGAGCAAGCAAGTTGCGGTTGCTGGCACCAACTCAAAGGATATCAAGGCAGCACTTAAATCTCGATCGGACATTCCCGCTTGTTTGGCGATCGGGAAGATATTGTCTGAACGGGCCAGAGAAGCCGATGTATACACAGCTTCATATACACCCAGAGAACGGGATAAATTCGAAGGTAAGATTAGAGCTGTTGTTCAATCCCTTATTGATAACGGTATCGATGTTAAAATTTATCTCGATTGACCCCGGATCTATTGTCGCAACATTGTGTAATGCGATTTTAACAAGTATAAGTAGGAATTTTGGTTTGAAAATTAACTAATTTGTTTGATTGAAGGACATCATATCGGTTATTAGATGCAGCATTCTCTAATTTAAACCGTGTCTTTATGGTGTCCCTGGAATTGCTTGCTTTTTGTCTCCATTTTATATCATTTAGCAAACGTTTGGTATGTTGGGACTGCGAAATTTCGAGCACAAGATAGGTAACTTTTGGGGCATTTGGTACACTGAATATGACAAAATAAGGATTATTGTTCCACGTTTAACATGACTTTTATATGAAATGGACAAGAACAAAGTGGAAGAGGTGTGTTCCACCCCTACCCCATAGAACAAGGCGGAATAGGTTTATATTTTGTCAATATATATCTCAAAATAAAACCCAATTTCTCTTTTAAAACATCAAATACGTATCTCTTTACATTTTATCCATTTTTTATATTTTTTATCGTATTCTATTCTCTTTAAACTTTCATTTTACTCTATTCAAAATATTATTTTTAATATATTTTTTTCTATATATTTAGTTAATTTATGTAATTTATTAAATATTAATAATAAAAATATATAAAAAATGTATAAAATAAAATTTAGAAATTAATAAACTTTATATTTTGGTGTCATTTTAACTGTTATGACGAAAACTTTCTAATGATATATCTTGTTGATTATAAACAACTCATTATGAGTAAATTGGTCAGTTTAAGGTCCTATCCGGTTCTATCTTTACTAAATGTTTACCAGTTGTCATGTTTTGTATTCAGACATCAAACGCACCTTTACTAAACTATCTATGTCAAATTAAAACTTTAAATTCCTTCACAAGAGCCATGAAAATCCGTATATTTATTAAGAAATGAATGAACCAAGTATTTCTCTATGCTCAAAAATAATAATAAACAACCGATTTAAACAAAATTAAACTCACGGAAACACACAAAAATACAACAAAAGTTTTCATAATTTTACAGTTAAAGAATCGTGTATCCGAGTCAAAACCAGGAACGCTTGTTTCAACTCAGTGAGTCAATCAATATAATGAATCAAAATCTATATTTCATCATCTTCCAAGGCATTAAAGATCATCCTACAATAAGCAGGAAAGACATTAGAGGATAATCTCTGAAAAACTACCAACAAAATTCATAACAATTTATAGACTTACCAAAATAAGGTGATGAAGAGGAGCATAATGAGATATCCGAGTTTAAAAAGCCGTTGCTTCTTTTCCCGGTTGAGTTGGTTAAAGATCTCCGTCACATCCACAAGGTGCTCTCTCCGACCATACCTACCATTTACACAATTTTTCATAATTGCACGAGAAAGAGTTGAAATACGTAATATCACATAGTCCAAGGTAGCAGGCCAGCCCAACAACCTCCAAATCAACTTAAAATCATGATTGAAGTTATTAGCGGGAGCCAGAAAAAATATCAAATTTCAGTTTTGAGGTTTGAGGGGGAGCCAATGTTTGTTACAACATATGAACATGAGTTTGAAATGCAGAAGACTTACAATCTGAGATTGTAGTAGAGGTATGGGGAAGCGAGAAGAAACATGACCCAATGGCCGGTTAGAAGATATAGCGAGCATAAAATGGCTTGAGTTATAAATTCCGGTAAGATGACACAGTTTATTCGGGATGCACAGTCGTAAGGGTTACTGTAATCAAACTCTAAATCTGCAAAACACATAAGCTGCAAAACAACAAGTCTTTGTGTGAGACAGAGGCAGGACTCGGGATGAACATACAAACAACATTCTTAACCTCTCTTCGACTAATTGAAACCAAGAAAGACAAACAAGAGATGAAACACTCGCACCCAAACACAGAATATAAAGCCATAAACCTCACCTCTCTCTCTCTCTATATATATATGCATGTGTGTGTGTGTACTTATAAGGATTCTTTTGGAGAGTGGTAGAATCAGGTTCCTCGTATTGTCACATGGTAATAGAGTAGGGATCTATCATTATCTAGGGACTTGACACACTATTTCGCCTCCATTCTTTGGGGCATATTGGATTCCCACATAAGCTTGACACTATTTCACCTCCATTCCTGCCTCAGTTGACAAAGGAGTGGGGTGACTTTGCCCAAATACAAGATAGGTCCTAGGTTTGATCTCAGTCCCTCCACCTATTAGCCTCAGCTGCTGAGTGAGCCAAAAATTACCCCCTCACATAGGTGTCATTGGAGGCAGGTTTCGTGTGAGGCTGGTTGACATTGCCGGTAATCAACTTTTTGCCCAAATTTCACCTCCATTCTTGGGGGTGTGTTGGAGTCCTGTCTAGAACACACCATCAAATTTGTATATATTTAGGTACGTCAACTTTTTTGGAAAAAAATCTAACAGGATTCTACGTATTCTAACAGAAATGTCCACGTAACATGCATATCCTTACAACATAGTTGCTTTACTTATACAAAAGTGTCAATTTCCTAATTCTGAGGTAAACTGCCATAGCCATGCCTTCTTACTTAGAATGGAGCCACAGAATACAACAATCTAGCCACTAAAATTAAGAAATACAGAAAGCAACAATTACCTAAAGCCAAGGTACATAGATGGAATTAAGGTAAATAATTCTAACGAACTACAAATTCCAATTTCATAGCAGGCTCTGAAATATTTGAATTGGGAAATCAGAACTCACAGAAACCCTAATTTCGCCATCAGCAATTCATGATGGATAGATAGATGAAATCAAATTGCAAAGATTGATTCCAATTTCCAACAACAAGAACCAATAATCATCGTAAGAATCAAAGGACTTACAAGTGATGATTGTGGACATTCAAAAAGTACGTATACACATAACGAAATAGTATAGGAAGCTATGGTTTAGAGAACTGACCTGATAAACAACAACAACGAGGAGAGATATGATGACGAAGAAGAACAGTAGCCATGCAATTACTTCCCACATTTCTTGTTCTTCCTCTGTATCTCGCTTTTGAAGGAAAACGAGATGGATTTTCTTCAACAACGAAAAACCGATGAATAGAAACAGGGAATCAAAGATTCACGCAAATTAATTTTCCGAAAACAGACGAAAGTTTAACGGATTGGATGCCGGAGAAAGAAGAAAGATTCTCCGGTGGGTGAACGATTTAGGAACGTTATCTTCCTCCGGCGGGCGATGATTCGACGTTAAAGATTGAGAAGATGCAAGAAGAAAGAGAGCTTGGATTCGATTTTGCAGTAACGAAACCACCAAGATGACGTTCTCATCAGTTGCCATTATTTATATTTCGGTGGTTTTGGTATTCTATTAAAACTACTTTACTTATTTCATAATTATCATCTTTTTTATATTATATAAAACTAGAAGGATACTCGGAGAATGTAGCAAGATATATCTTGATTTTAATGTTTTGTTTTATATTTTGGTTCTATCGATGTTATAATACGATTTTATGTGGTTTTGAGAAAACGAAAATGTTTTTGTTTTTGAATGGAATATAAATTTGATGATGTTATAAAATTTTGAGAAAAATAAACGATATTAGTATCAAATTAACTATTTAAAAGTTTTTGTTTTTATGTAATTTCTTTAATTCAATTTCTTATTATGATTTAATTGAAGTTAAAAAACGAATTAACTTATTTTTGGTTTAATAAAATAAATTTTTTAAGATAATAATTAAATTAATCTGTTAGAATTCAATTATTATTCTAATTATATTTTAGATTTTTTATATTCAAAATAATGTTCATCATGTGTTTGATTATGTTTATCTGCAGTTAGTTACACGAATCAAACATGAAGCTTTAATAAGATATACTTATGCACATCCTATTTGTAATCTTGAATTTTAAGTAATATGCATTAATAAACAATATTTTATGCATAAAAAGTTGTTTTAAGAGTTTTAATCAAATGCTTTATAATATAGCATAGATTATATCATAGCATTTAAAAAAAATCTGAAATAATCATTTTCTTTAATTCTAAATATGTGGGTCAGTTTGCATGCATCTCAACTAATCTCAACGATTTTTTAAAACAACCAAAAAAAGTCCTCAATGCCTTATAAGACTCGAACAAGTAACATCCGAAGAGAAATAACTATATATTCTTAAGACATATATAAAAAATGCTGAATATTGTACGATGTGATGAGAATATATGTATTTGTGTTAATATACATGTTGGTTGTATTGATATAAAACTTGAAATATGATGATTTTAAATATAAGTTTTGTGTGATTCAAGTTATTTAAAAGTTCTGTCATTTGAGCAGTAGATTGATAAGCGGTAATCTCAAGTGGCCCTGGATGAACTCGTTTTTTAAGAATTATATGTGAGAAGACATTTCAGAGATGACTAAATAGCAAAGACAAACCTAATTTTTTTTTCAACTTGTGACACCATTAATTTGATTATAAGAAACAAAAATATAGATATTTTCACAAAATCAATGTCGGTTTGTTGGTTATTTCATTACTTTTTATATGTGAAGTCCTATGTTCAAGTCTTTTATTATAATTTTTTTTCAAAAACATAATAAATCTGAAATTAAAAGTTAAAAACTAATAAAATGACACTAACAGGATTTAAACTTTGGTATGTGGTAAAAGAAAAGTCTTACAAACCAACTATATCTAAGAAAAACTTGTATTTTTATTGTAGTTTCAAAAAATATATAGTGGCATACAACAAATTGATATGGTGAAACTTTTCACGACCCTATAAGTTTTTACACTAACACAAAGGAATGAAGAGGTGGCCTATGCCATCATATCCAATACATTGGCTTCGTAAGCTAGTGAAGGGGTTTAAGCATGTTCCCGCATGATTCAAACTTGAATTTATTTTGTATTAAGCAAAGTCGTTCCGTCATGTCAAATTTTTAGGGGTTGTTTGATTCAGACAAAGGAAATGAAAATGATAAGGAATGAAAACTTTAATGAATTTCCTTATCCAAGTTTAACCTTGAAAGAAAATTTTGGACTTGTGGGGTATATTATATATAAACAACTTGTTTTATTTTCAATCAGATTAGTTGCCTTTTAATACCTCTAACCAAACATTCCCTTAGATATTATTTTGACCCAACAAGTATTAACAGATCGTTTTTTTTTATCAAATATTCTTTTTCACCTTATCCACAAATATTTTAAATATTTTGTCGTTATAAAATTTTGAAAAGAAACAAATAATATACAAAACAAGTATCGTAAGGTTTTTGAGTTTAATCTTTTTGTTTTATTATTAGCTTCGTATATTCTATATAGTAAGTAATTACTTGATATTGACCTTTATGGTCGGTTTTTGATAAAGTTTTTTCTATCTTATTGTTAGTTTGATATACTATAGAGTAAGTAATTAATCATCATTAACCTTATTTCATGGAGAATTTTGGCCACTCTGTCTCGTTGATGTTTTCTTGTTCCTTGGTCTGACTAAACCTTAAATATTAAGTAAAAATACTGGAACAACAACAACATATTCAAATGTCGAAACATGACTATGTGTTAATAACTTTTTCATCAACATTATGCATATAATGTTTATGTATCAATATTTTTCTAGTATGTACATATATTTGTCAACTGTCATCTATATGATTTTTAAGATAAAAATTTAAAAATCACCCATCAAAACAACCGAGTAACCTCCATATCTTACTTGTCCTTATTATTTTTTTTAATCCCTGAAATATAAAACTTGGGAAGGAGATATTTGAACTTGGAGATGGAGAATTGTTTGCCTTACACGCAATAATCTCTGAATCAATAAAGGTGTTTGAACATGAATCTCTCATGTCGTTGGCACTCTTACGCATATAGAAGCTTCTGCATCCAATCTCTCCAATCATGTTTGATTTATCCAAACCTAATGTTTTAAAAAATTACAACATGACCATTACATGCTATCATATCCAAAAACTAAACAAAAAGTTAAAATTAATATAGTGTTCTTGAAACCTTTTTTCATGAAGAAATAAAAAGGAAAGTAAAAAAAACTCGGTACTCTAAAATTTTTTTAAGTAAAATACTGATAAGTTTTCTTTTACAACTTTCCTTCACGTGGAAGTTTAACAACAAAAATATTTTTTTTTTCAATTGTCAATTTCTGTAACGAATAAAAAATCTTCATCCTTTTAATCACCTGTCCCTTTTCTGTCCATTAATAATGTAAAAAAGAAATGACGAAAATTATAACTTGTAGCATAGAAAGGTTATACCACATAACTTGAATAGGAGGAAGAGACTTGGAGGGACTCACATTGAAGACTGAAGTTCGAGTTGTGCAACTCAAAAGAAGTGATGGCATCTTGGTCAAGTTGAGGACTCCTTCCTTCTGAATTATATTTGTTCGTAACAAGCCTTATTGTCTCGTCAACACTCGAACCTAACTTCACCAAAGCCCGAATAGGTCCAGGGCTTCCCTCCACCGTTACCTTAACCACAACTTTTGCATCTCTGTTATATCGCTGCATTATTATCGTGTACAATGATTATCGACTCTACAAACACATAAATCAAATTCTTATACGAAAATTTCATTTGATCTAAAATATTATGTTCAAATTAGAATTATTAGGATTTATTTAAAGCAATATAAAAATTTGGTGTTTAAATTTTACATCTATATATTACATTGTAATCATTAATAGTATATCAAATCATTCATAAATGAAGGCCAAAAGTTCTATGAGACCTGCTTTTTTGTACGAAAAGTAAAATACAACTAAAATATTGATAGTATTATGCACATTTAAAGGTAGAAACCAGAAGTTAAATAAATATATTGTTCTTGCAAATTGCAATGTCATAATCTTGGAAGTTGACTAAAAACCTTGTTTATTTTAATGGGTTCATTAAAGTCCGGAATTGACCGACATTGAGGTCACAAATTTTTGTCGGTTAAAAGACATCCCATCCACAAATTTTGTGATGTTCAATAATAAAATATTTATAATTAATTAAATTTTAATATTTGTGGGAAAAGCTATCTTTTTGAATAATATTATATTTTTGTAAAAATATTCTAAAATTCTCTTAATTGATATACTTGGCTGAAAGAATTTAAATTCATACAAGTTAACATAATTTCATTTTTTTTGTGTTCAAATGTACCTAGGTTAAATTTTACCCCTGTAAATTCTTATAATTTATTATTATTAAGAAATCGTTTTGCATAAAACATTTTTAGACCAACACAACATAAAATAATCTTTAATGACAAATTGTTATACATGAGAGTGAGACTATATCAATACCAAGTAAACTACTAAATAAAGATATTATATATATATATATATATATTGTTAATTGTATCTTTATGTATTTTATTTTTTACACATCAATATCAAGATTTATTTTATATATTTTCTAATATTAATATAAAAGAGGTCGATATAGGATCACTCATAGCAATTCCCTTAAAAATAAAAAGTCAATTTTCTTTGGAAAGAGTCAATAAGAAATTAACATATTATATAATTACTATTTTTGTTTAATTATATTATATATTGTATAATTGATTAAGTTTTTAACATGCCATTTTTTAAATCATTTTTACATTTCTTAATAAGTTTACCAGTTAATTTTTGCTAGACATGATTAGTATAATATTTATTTTTCAACTAACAGCTAACTTATCAACTAACAACTAGTTTATCAATAACTAACTCGTTTCTACTAATTTACTAAACATAGCCTTAATGTCATGTTCTTATCCACCAACCTTTCGAAGATATGTAATTATTTTAATTAATATAAATTTATTCAATTACTTTTTCTATCTTTTTATTTTAATAAATAAATGATATACATTTTACCTGATTCATGGATAAGAAAAAGACAAAAATTCAATGACAGCATATCTTTATTACGGTAAGAGAGGGAAAAAAAAATCGTGTACAAGGGAGAAGTATATAATTTCTATAATCAAACAAATGAGGACGAAAATTACAAAGCCACAATGTTAGAAGTATTATTGATGTAATATCCTTTTGATCGGCCAAAAACTACATACAATCCATCTCTATCGATCAAAAACCATGTTCTTTATTCTCGATCAAAAGCGTACTCGTTTTCATCACTCGATCAATGATCGTTTTAAATTTATATATGAGACGATTAAAGCAGCCGGTGATGAAATCAAATTAAATCGATAAGTCAAGGATCAAGTAAATTACGAGCGTCATGTATGAAATTAAACAAAGGCATTACATCAAACAATTGAATTTGAGAAATTGATTTCGTTTACCTCTCTTTTTTCAGGCGAATCAGGCAACAACTCAGGCGACGAAGAGAATACATCCGTAGAGATCCTATTTAGAAACATCGCGCAACTGTCTCCTGGCGGAGTCATATACCGGTGCTCCTCCGTGACATCAGCACCAGCGATGGAGATACCGGTGGTCAACAAAGTAGGCTCGGAGTTCCATCTCTTGATGAATTTCGAATGCTTCTTCGACGATCTACGAATTACTACTACTTTCCGGTGAAGTCTGTGAGTGGAAGATGACGGATGAGGTGGTTTGATTCTCCGATTGACCGGAATTCTTCCACGTAGGGGCTTCTCTGACATAGATTTTAATTGATGAAAGCGATGTGTGAATACAGATTGAGTGTATGTATAGTTTTGGGAGGGGGAAGATGTTTTTGCTTAAGGAAGAGGCAATTGGCTGTCGATGATCTCGTAAAGCATGTCTGCATTTAAATTATCTTTTTTTTTCCATTTTTCTTATTCTATTATTTCAATTGTTTGTCATATTTTTTTTTAAAGTCTTCGAAAAACTAAATTCCAGTTTTTCCCTTTTATCAAATATTTATCGGGTAAATATTCACATGACAACTGACATGTGTTATCATGGTTACTTACCTTATGGGATAATATTTTCGACCATCAAAATAGATTGATAGTAAGCGTTTATAATTCAGTAAGTGTTTATCAGGTAAGACTCGATCTTTGTCTCGTTTTTACAGGGTAAGATTCTTGGTTATTATTGTATATGTTTATCTGATAAGATAATTGATTACGTAAACACTTACCAAGGTAAATATTTAATAAACGACCCCTAAATTCAGATTTTAGCAATGGATCATCTTTGGTAGTTTAATTATAAAATAACACATGTAGAGTCTAGCCGTAATTATGATGTTAAAATGAACATAATTTATCTCCGTGAATGTAGTTGGGTTATTGTGTTTCTTTTAGAAAATCGTTCAAATAATTTAGAAGTACATAAGATTTGTGACTTTTAATTTATTAATGTTATCGTCAATTGAACCTAGTGGTTATTACGACTCTGCGTTTAACTGGCCTCACATGTTTTCATGTGAGGACATTTTGGTCATTTCCTCATTTTCTTCTTTCTTCATCATCCCTTTATCAAGAACATTATATCCCCGGACCACCAATCTGGGTTTTATATACCCATGCCCATCTGAAATTGATATGTACGAGGTGATATATAGTTACTGAAACCCCCAACTTGTTTAAAAGACTTGGGACTTTTAGGGGAAAAAAATGAAAATACCTCCCTAATGAATTCTTATTTCGTGCTTATATTTATAAATGAAAATTACTGAAATGAAAAACCATGAATACGTAAAACTCCAAAATCAAGGTTAAATGGTCAGAAAGTAAGATGCAAGTTGAATGGATTTTCTATTTCCATTAGTTTTATCAAACAATCTGATATGATGCCATCAACCCAAAATCATTGATATATAAACGACCACATATTTCTTTTTCGCGCAACTCATGAAACTACTTGAAAGCTTTATCAATACAACCACACTTTGCATATGAGTCGATTATGTCACTTCACAAGTGATCATCCACTACTTATTCTTTTTCTCTATGAAATCAATTTGATTTATTTTTAAGAGTAAATTACAGATTTGATTCTTATGGTTTACACTTTTTATCCATAATGGTTCTAAAATTAAAATAAGTACAAATTTCGTACCTCTGGTATGCATTTTCGCACCTTTAATCCAGTTAAGTACAAAGGGGCGAGGATCACCATCTCCACACCGTCGTCTTCGTCGCGCCGACCACCATCTCCACACCACAACCCTTCCCTCCATATAAGAAACCCACAATAACGGTGTTTCTCAGGGACATCCCCGTTTCTTTTTCTAAAGCACTGCCACACCATCTCCATCTTCATTTTCAACCTTCAGATATCCCCACAACCAATGTTCCCTCCACCCCAAGGCAAACTTCGGTGAAACTCCAGCAAACGTTTTCCCCTTCTCACTTTTCCCCTCTGGTGTAGAAGCAAACACACACACAAATTCAGGAATATGATCAATCGATCTCTAGGGTTTTTTGGGGAAAATCAAGGATGGTGGAGATGAAGGTGGTTTTGAGGATAAATCTCCGGCAAAAACCCTCCCTTTTCTTTCGTTTCTCCGACAAAAACCCTCAGATGAGACAAAATTGATAGAATGATTGATCATCCATTGATGTTGGTTTTCAAGATCCCTTAAAGTTTTAGGGGATATATGGGATTTGCTTATGAAAACCGATTATTGACCTATTCTGTGTGGTACCGGTAATAAACAGTTTTTAGTGTTTGGATGGAGAAAAAAGAATAGCTTATACTAGTGCTAAACCAATAACAAAGTTTTTGATAACTTGCTCTCCTTTTAACTTGTCGTATTCAACTTATTAGATTTGGAAATCAAATAACCTTTTTAACCCTTCAAGCCTCATTACAGTATGTCTCTTCATTTTGGTTTAGAGACTCTCGATACGGCTGCTTCCTCAAGCAACCAATTCCTCAAGAAATCAAACCAGTTCCTTAGAAATTGAACCAGTTCCTCCAACAAAAATCGAAATCGACCTCTCCACCCACCATCGAATCGGCCTTCTTCCTCACGTAAGCGATCTCTTGTTGTGATTTCTTCTACAAAACTGATTTTTTTGCCTCTGTGATAATTGGTGTCTTGCATAAATCAATTACAAATCTGTTTTCTATTAGAGTTTATGAAATCAACGGGGAATTATAGGGTTTCTTTAAATCAAATCCTCCAGAAAAGCTTATTGGAAATCGGACTGATAATTGGAGACGAACACGAACTCATGATGGTATTTGATTCCTGCAAATTGGAAAACAAATTTTAGGCATTTTTGTGAAGAAAAGGAATTGGAATTCCATTGAAACAGACCTTAATAAGGGAATTTGGAGATTGGGATTCCTGTTGCCATTGGAAGATTGAGAGAAAACTGCTAGTTTGAAGAGAGTTTAAGGGAGGGGGGGGGGTTGTTTAGAAGAATGTCTTTTTTGGTTATTTTACATGTATAAACAAAATTTGTCAAACACTAAAGAATCAACTTACTACGTTTTGGTATCATCATAAGCTAATCTAAACACTCTTTATAAAACTTTAGTTTGGCACCACATACGTTGATAATCACTTATACAAGAAAAACATAAGTTGTTTTAAGTAAGCAATCCCAAACACCCCTTAGTCTTGAATTTATCAAAAACAATTTCCACACATTGTTGATAATTATTCCCACAAATGTCACCAACCATTTCCCATAAAACATCCTCAGCCTGCTTCGAAAAAATACACCCACCTGTAAAAACATCTCTTATGAGTTAATTCGCGAAATTCTTGAACTTTGAATGCTCTAAACATGAAAATGGATCTGACTCACAATTTTCATTCACCCAATTTGCTAATTATTTGAGTGATGAATCCTTTTGAGCTCGAGTTATTGTTTGACCCGATGATGATTTCAGATTTTTTAGCTTCTTTACACTATCTTCTAGTTTAGCTAAAGGACCTAAATCTTCTTTGCCATGTGATAACACCACCGGTTGGTGGTGGTGGTGGTGGTGTGGAGAGTACTACCCATCGTTGCTAATAGTCGCAACTGAAAATGCAAGAACCGAATCGGTCGGGTCGGGCAAGAAACATCAACGGATAATCTTGATGCTTCAATAATCATAAGAGGAGCAATCGAATAAGTGGTTTCGAAACCAGTGGAGATGTGAATCTTAAACCCCCCACCATCGCCGCCAAGGTCGCGACCGCTATGGTGGACTAAGAAGCTTCGTTGGTGGTTTTGCAGCGGCTGAGGCAAAGAAGATGAAGTCGGAGAAGATAAATTCATCGTTCCTGCCGACGAAAGGGAAGGGTATCGGAGACACAGATGAGAGGCCAATGATGGTAGATGTGTGTTTGTATATATAAAACAAAATGGGACAAAGACAAAATTAATGATAAAAAGACCAAAATACCCTTGGACTTAAATGGGTTTAGAGGGAGGGACTAAACAGGTGTGAAAATGCGTACCAGAGGTACTGAATCTATATTTATTTTGATTTTGAGACCAATGTAGGTAGAAAATGTAAACCACATGGACCAAACCCGTAATTTACTCTATTTTTAAACATGCTCAGATAATTGTTTGGATGCCATTTTTTATTTGACTTGTAATGTTTCTATAAAATTGCTTGGTCAATCGAATTATGGAAATCAATTGCACAAAACATGTTAAATCGAAGATCTATCTTCTTTTCTTATTAATTTTTGCGTCTTTTCCAAAGTTCTCTTTACGGTATAACAAAAAAGAGGAAAAACAATATACTATTAATATACATAGGTTTTAATTTCTCAAGGAAATGAGAGAAGGAAGCGAGGCAGTTCCCAAATTTGGAGATTGGGATCTCAAGAACCCGTCATCTGCAACAGAATTCTCATTCATCTTTGACAAGGTTAGGCAAGCGAGAAAGACAGGTTACGAGTGTTATGGTAACAATTTACAACTGAAAGCTAATGAAATCGATTCATTGAAGATCAAGCACCAAAGAAGACATCATCACAATTGCCACAAACAACCTTCATTCGTCAAGAGTAATCCATTTCTGCGTTGTTTCTTCCCCTCTTACAAATCTTGATTTAATCAATTGGATTGATATTTAAAAACAACAGAAAAGAAAAAAAGAATATCTGAAATACCTAATAGCTTACGATAATAAGCATTCATATATACATGAAAAGTATATATGATCATATATCATTTCTGTCTGTTATTTTTATTTTCTGTCCATGCCTAGTTGACCATAAAAAATAAATAAGGAAATTTATTCTTTCATTTTTTATTTTATCACAGTCATTATTTTATGTGACATTTAAAATGTATTCATTTAACTAGAATGATACTCGCACAATGCAGCGAGATACATCTCGATTTTAATATTAGTTTTATTTTTTTGTCCCAGTCGATGTGATAATACGGTTTTGAGAAAAATTTTATTTTTGAATAAAATATAAATATATATCATAAAAATTAAAAAATATATATTGAATTAGTACCAAACTAACTATTTAAATTTTCTTTTTTTGTGTATTCTTTACTTCATTTTTTTATTTTTGTTTTAATAGTATAACTTTTTATAATTATAATAATTAAGTATTTTGTTAGAACACAATGATTATACTAATTATATTTTAGATTTTTTATACTTAAAATGAGATGTTTGATTATGTTTATCTGCAGTTAGTTACACGAATTCAAACATGAAGCTTTAATAAGTTGTACTTACGCACAATTTACTTGTAATCTTGAATTTTAAGTAATATGTATCAATAAACTGTACTTCATGCATAAAAAATGATTTTTAAAAGTTTTCGTCAAATGCTTTATAATATAGTATCGAAATGTTTCCCTTTTGTTATTTCATTATCTTTTAAGGACTATTTATGCATTGAAAACGATTTCAATGCCATTTTAAGCCCCAAAATTTTGATATTTCGTTTACTTCTTATCAAGTAGTTATAAAGTGTGTTAATCAAAATATAATTATTCAAATTATTGTTATAACTTAAACATTTATATATGGACAAATTTGCATGAAAAAATAATGTACTTTAACTTGATTCTAACATACTTTTAAAACTTTCATTTTAGTACCTAAAATGTAAAGTTTTAAACATTTAAGTACCCCGGTAACCGGTTGAAGCATTAACCGGTTACCATGTTGATGTGGCGAATGATGAGATGAAATTGGGTTGAATAGCAAATGATACTGAGTTGGATACCACATCACTTTTTAATTAATAAAAAGACAATTTAACCCGTAAGAGAAATTTCATTCGACTTATAATTAAAGGTAGAATGAGAAAGTAAACATATTACATTTGACATTGAATTCTTATTTTAGAAAAAAAAAACTAAAATAATAATGTGGATATTTAATTTAAGACAAATAGAGTAATATATGTTCATAGGTCTTTCCAAGATAAAACATTAAACGATATACATAATTTCTAATGCAACAAGAATAAAAATACTAACAACTACGACAGGGTGTTTATCAAGTACTTATGGGGTAAATGTTTATCAAGTGTCACTTGTCTTCAGAGCGGACATAACAATGACCTAGAATCTTAACCGGTAATAGACAAAATAAGAATCAAGAATTTGAGGAGAAGATTTTTACCCGGTAAATGCTTACAAATAATGTTATTTCAAATGGCAAAAAATGTTACCAGATAAGATAGATAAGTATGGTATCTTACTGGTAAGTGCTTACCTGATAAATATTTGGAAAACAATCTATATTATTTGGTCTTAAATACCAACACTTATCTATATACAAACGAAGTATATATGTTAATTGATGTCTAGAGTTGGGTTATAGTGAGAAGAATAATTAAGGTAAGAAGCATAAAAATGGATCTCCACCCTTGAATAAGATGTACCAAGATGCGCAAGTTCAATGGTCCAGATCTCTTCTTGCATTCTCACCTTAACTCTCCTCACATCATCCTTCGCCTTGATGCTTATGCCTAATCTTTAATTCATGCTTTAAAAGTCTTGATCTTTGTGTCTTCTTATTTTCTTTATTGTTATTACTAGTCGTATATTAGTCTGAATCTGTAAAATTATAAATTTGTTTGGGTAAATTAGTGTCCATGAATTCATGGTTTTTATGGAATAATTTTAACATTGACATTATTAATACAGTTATCAATTTCAAGTAAAGAACTTAAAAAAAATGAGTATGCGTTAAATTTTAAAGTATATTGGCCTCTTCGACCAAGCACAATGGTCATGATAACCTTACGAGCGTGCATAAAAGCACACAAGAATCTTAACCGGTCCTTTTTAACCAAAAAACGGCTCATTTCTTAACCGATCATTGACCAAAAGTTAGAATCAAATCAAACCGCACTCCTAACCGGGTTTTAATAGGTCCTTTTGAGATTTTAAAAATAACAATCAAATGGGCATTAATTCAAAGTTAGCATAACCATTACCTTGAATTGTATCATTTATTTCAAACTCAATGTTTCTAATTTTATATCTTACAATTATTACTCATCCTCCCGATATATAAAATATTTTAGGGGTTTCGCTCTTAGCTCGTGAACGAATTAAAAGGAAACGATATTCTTATCTTTTGTACAAAAACTGGACTCGAAATTTAGACCATAAGTCGTTAAATTTTTGTTTCAAAACCATTTCTTTTGCAATTCATAATTTTCAATAATCGGCAATTTCTTTCCTTTTCTATTTTCTTAAATTTCATTTTTTATGTTTTTATAGCATCTTTAATAGATGTGTTATTTTAGAAAATTTTCAGATTTAATTTTTTTTTCCTCCAATAATTATATTAAACTCTCATTTAAAATAGATTTAAAAAAGAATGGAATCTTCAAATCTGAAAAAAAAAACAAATATATAGCATATCTATTTTAAAAATGACAGTGGCAAAATTTTAATATATTCTTTTGAGTAAATTATGTTTTTTTGTCCTTGGGTTTGCTTAAAATTGTAGATTTCATCCCTATGATTTTAAAATTGTTGTTTTATTCATATGGTTTGTAATTTATTTTTATTTAAGTATGAGAGAGTAAAATAAAAATGAGTTATAAACCACAAAAATATATATAAAAAAAAGTAAGTTTTAAAACATAAAACAAAAAAGTACAAAATTACAAATTACATGAATGAAAATCATAATTTTAAAATCATAGAGACGAAAATAAATTTTTCTAACAAACCACAGGGACTGAAAACTTAATTTACTCTATTCTTTTATTTGAAGTGTGACACAAAAAATTCAACATAAATATGTAATTGTGATGACTAAATATGCAATTGTGACGGCAAAGTTTACAACTCTAATGGTCAGATCTATAATTACAACAAGTTAGGTTCACAATTACAATGGTAAACTAGTTAGAATTTGATAAAAAAAAATTATCTTTCCGCAATAAATATTAAGGATGCGGTGATATTTCAATCAAAGGGAAAAATGGTTAGGCCAAACGAAAAAATGGTGATTTGAGCTTATTCCTATTTCTTTCTCTCATCTTCCTTTTCCCCCCAATATTTTAACGGAACTAACTGACAAAAATCCTCTCACTCTCCGCCGATCCCCATTTCTCCACCGTCACAAATGTTGCCTTACTCCTCCCTGCAAGAGGCGGAAACCGCCATCGGACGATCGCTCACCGGAGCCGAAACCTTGTGGTTCAATTACACGGCCAACAAATCCGATTACGTCCTCTACTGCCACAACATTCTATTCCTTTTCCTCATATTCACTCTTGTACCTCTCTTCTACGTTCTTATTGAACTTATATTTCGCGATTACGTTGCAGCTTACAAAATTCAACCCAAGGTTAAGTTTTCTTTGTATGATAACTTCAGATGCTACTTCGATGTAATGCGCATGTTCATCCTCGTGGTCGGACCTCTCCAGCTCGTCTCTTATCCTTCGATTCGAGTAAGATTTTTTGTTTAACTTTTCGTTTGGTTTAGTTTGAAGAGTGTTGGATTTGTTGTCTTCAACCTAGTTCACTGATATTTAATTGCAAAGTATTGAGATTAGTTAATTGAGTTCACGTTCGATTTTGTTTCTTCATTTATATTTTTGTATTATCGACTAGAAGAGAGAATATATGATGTCTCTTGATTTTGTTGCTGGACTTTTTTCATTATTGTTGTATTTTCAATTTTCGAATCTCGGTTTCAATGCGGATCGGATTTTATCGACCTGCTGCAGTGGTTTGTGATTGTTACTGCTGACTGTTAAGATAGTAACTTCATTTTAATTTTAGTTGAGTATGAGATACGGTTTTTATATTTTCAACCTGGTTTCAGCGATTTTTGTGATTGTTAGTTGTTATATTTGTACTGTCGATCTAATTAAGCATTTGCTTGACAAACTCTGTTATATGTATTGCTGACGTTGGGAATTTCTTCCATATTCAGTTTATTCTCAGTCTCATTTAAGCGTTTTATGATGTTTATTTGATTGATTGATCAACCAATATAAATATATCATCTCACAGCCTGATATCAGTTTTGGGATGAGTTCCTATGCTTGCGTTACCCAGTAATAGCATCCATGAAATTTTTGGATCTTCTGAAAGTAAATCTCTTTATCACATAGGTCAAGTACATAAAACGGTCTTCAGGTTTGTACCCCTGATTTGATTAAGTGATATGTGCAGTTCTTACATCTGAGTTTGATTTATGTGCATCATCTCTTCCAGTGTTTTTCTTCAATTGATTATGAAAACTGAAATGGTGGTTTAGTGGTTAGGGAGGGGGTCATGAGAGGTCATACTGATTATGAGAGACTTAAACTTCTACTTTCACCCGTAGGGTCCGGTGTAATAAAAATTGTTGATAACAAATATGTTGCTGAGAGAAAAAAAATGATGAAGTAATTTATGGCCTCTTCTGTGTTTATTTTTTTGAAGATAACATGCTTATTTTAGTTCTACTTTGCAACTAGTAGGAATATTGTATCAGTGAACAAACAAAATTATTTTCTTATACCTCATTATTGGTATTGTAGATGATTGGCATTCGAACAAGCTTGCCCTTACCGTCATTAATGGAGATTATATCTCAATTGGCGGTCTACTTTCTTATTGAGGACTATACTAATTATTGGATCCATAGACTTTTGCATTGCAAGTGGGGGTATGAAAAAATTCATAAGGTTCATCATGAATACACAGCACCGATAGGGTTTGCAGCTCCATATGCACACTGGGTGGAGGTACTGATCCTTGGGATTCCATCTTTTCTGGGTCCCGCAATAGTTCCTGGACACATGATTACATTCTGGTTATGGATTGCCTTGAGGCAGATTGAGGCCATTGAGACTCACAGTGGGTAAGTTTGCTTTGGGGTTTAAACCAACTTTCTAGCATTGCTTTTTCAGTGTATGTTATTGTTGTTCCCTTTCTTCTTTGGCTTATTTGACCAAATGATGTTTAATAGTGTATTGAACTTAGGCCTGATTGGTAACAGTGCACATATTAGTATTAAATTAACTTCTGGTCATAATGAAAATGATCGCAAATTCGCAATATTTTTCCTTTTTCGCCCCTCCCCTCAATGCCTTTGTGTTATTCACACTCTACTTCTCTTCTTGTTTCTTTCTTTTCTTTGTGCTGCACCTGCAGAGCAGAAGTTACCTCTCTTTTCTCCCTTTGTTATTATCTGAATGTCTCTCCTGCTTACTGTTTTTAACTTGAGAAATATATGAATATAAATGGTTTTAAAACTAGAAACTTGCTAAGTTACTATGAGCTATGATGATGGAACTTCAAAAAAGTACCCACGATTGGTTGGTCAAGAAATTTTGGAAAGTATGTTTATCGGTGAAACACAGTGACCTATAAGTTTCTCCTGGTGAATGTTGATTCTTTCATTCAAGGCATCCTGAGACTCATCATTATTCATGCTATAATCAAATAGGAAAATATATGGAGAAATTGTGGACCTTGAATGAGAGCATTAGCTCTTTCCATCACTGAAAAAAGTTTACACCCAATCTGTTTCTAGCATTGGCATTTCCATTCTGTGGCTTCCTTAAATATGATGTGCAAAGAAATGAAGACATGATTGTAGGTTCTATTTTTCTATTGCAAGTAGAAATGGAGATGCGACCCATGTAATAGATGGTGTAGGAATATGGAATAAGCGTGAAACATTAGATTTTTTTTATCAAGGATGTCAGATGTGCTCTTTGATTTTCCATGGAATATCCAAGCTCCTAGTTATATTCTTTCTCGCAGAAACCACGTTGAATTGTTGCCTTGTTACAGGTTGAGGTCTTGGTGTGTTTTGGTATTTAGAGAATACATATTCGATGGAGGTGGAATTTAACTCCCACAACTAGAACTAAGTGGTGAAAAATTGGATTGTTATACCTTTAATGATCTTTTCCCTTTCTTCAGTATATATGATATATTCAACTTGGACCACTGCCATGAGGCTTTGTTGATTAGCTCAGATTGTTATTTGTACAAGATTAAAAAACAGAACAAGAAAAAGAGCAGTTTTCCCGTTCCTATGTATCATCCTGTAAACAAAAGAAAGCACTTGACTCAATGTTGGATTCTGCATTATGCAGGTATGATTTACCCTGGACATTTACAAAATATATCCCTTTTTATGGTGGCGCCGATTACCATGATTATCATCATTACGTTGGAGGGCAAAGCCAAAGCAACTTTGCATCCGTGTTCACTTACTGTGACTACATATATGGAACAGACAAGGTAACTATAATTTTAATTTTACTTGTTCATTTTTGTAGATATGGTGTGTTCTGACACATCATAGCTAGGAGCTATATTATTTGGTCTTTAGGGTCGAAGTAATAGAATGACAGAGATGACAACGACGAGGCAATCCCTAGGAAAAGGTCTAGATGGAAGAAGTGGTGCAGAAATCAGCGAGTCTTCGTGGTTGAAACCTCAAGTTTTATATGAATGTGAATGATTGGTGACCAAGATACAACTTGTGCCTAAGATAGATGTAGCATAAAATGGCCAAACAAGAATGGGTAAGGTTAGGGTGGCATCAATTGATGCGAAGCTGAGTCAATATCACTAGATATGGTTTGGTCATCTACAACATACATGGTGGTGTTAAAAATTGGAACATGTGCGGAAAAGAAATGTGTAGGGATTAGACCGAGACAATAGAGCCCTCATTTTGTTTGTTATCAATTGAAAACTAAAATTAGCAAAATTTGGTCACCAAGAAAGAAAAAGAAGTACCATAGGACAATCCAAGTATTCTTTTCACTACAGATGAGCATATAACAATTTCCAAGGTATGAGATCATACAATATCAACTTTTTTTTCATGACTCCATGCTTAAGAAGACAACTCCAAAGACTACTCTCCACTGTAAATCATACAAATGATTAACTCAAGGACTATGACTCTCTCAAAAGAATTGGATGCCCTCGTGTTTCTTGGTGTGTGAATATGAAAGACCCCTCCTTCTTTATAGCTCAACAGACATATGAAATCTAATTTGAAACCAAATGCTTGATGATGTCGATCTTGTATCTATTATTTTACATTCCAAACCCACAATGCCACACACAAACATATACATTATGATTCTATTACTTATAGTTTTCTTTTATTTGCTAATCTCACCAGGGTTACAGATACCAAAAGAGACTCCTGCAGCAGGTAAATATGCACTTTACATTTGACATATATCTATCGATTACGTGTTTTGCAAGGTCTATCGATTATTAGTTTTGTATAGTGAAAATGCATATGTTGATCTAATTTAGTTAAGAGATGGCTTGGGGAAGGAAAATGGTGGATTATTTGCTTCTTCGCCAGATATCAAATTGGAGTGAAAGAAGAAAAGAGCATGCATGCTTGACACCAGCATTGATTTCCAGATAAGTTAGGAATTTCCTTTGGGTTTGGTGGAACTACGAAAGAGGACTCTTATGTATATTATGTGGTGGAGGACTTCTATTTTCTGTGTTTAGGTTTCTCTATTTGAAATTGAATGGAATATCGTGATCGTTACACAATTGCAATGACAGCCCACTTGTTGATTAAGAGACCAAAATGAGATCATCTCGTGATAGATTTTGTTGAAGTTTTACATCAGTCAAATTTGGACCATTTTTCTTAATGTATTTGGAAAGCTCTTTTTTCCCTCGGTGCTTTTTTGGAGGGTAATCTAACGTGTGTCTACGTATTTTCATGTGGTATTAGAGTCAATGTATCCACTCTGGGTAATCTGTCCCCATCCGGTCCCCTCTTGACACTTTGACACTTAGAGCCAGTGGTGGACCCAAGATATTAATAAGCAGGTGTACTTTTAAGGTGGATTAAATACCTGCAAAGTCGTTCAATGTGTTTTTATCTGAATTTTAGATTTTTGAGGATTTCTTTTTAAAAGTTTTTTTGTTGATTTCGAGAGATTTTTACGTTTTTTGTCTATTTCAAGGGATTTTTAGGTTGATTTTGAGAGATTTATGGTTTTTTGGTTGATATTTCTTATATTTTCTAATATCACCAAACACCCCTCAAAATTTACTAGTGTGCACCTTTGAAACCTAAAAAAATCCTATTTGTGAAAATAAGTTGAGCCGGTGCACAAGCGTCCATTCGGACATACATAAGTCCGCCCCTAATTGGAGTGATGTGTTGGAGCTCCACATCTGCTAGACTTTGATCATTTCTTCTCAATATATATCAAAAAATTTCTTCAAAGACTCTTTTAAAGAATAATTTAACATGATTCTACTTATTTTCACGGATTTGACGAGACTATTACATCAATTTGTATATGTGCGAGATAGTGACCAAATTCAATCTATACTCGATGGATAATACCTATATCAAATTATTTTTCCCAATAATTCAATAGTGATCTATAATAATGAGTGCCTACTGCAAGATTTTATGGAAAAGTAATAGAATTGCTTGTATAAAATATGTATTTTTAAAACAAGGAAAAAAGAAGGTGATTTTAAAATGGGCCAAGCTTTTTGGTCCAATTGAGTATTTCTCTTTTGGAGATTCTATTTGATACTCAAACACCCATATATAGCAACCAAATGGGCAGTTTTTTATTCCAAACCCAGATGATTTTCCCAACACATGGGTGACATTTCGTGCACATTTAACATTTTGCATCACAACGAGTCATATCAAACTTTTAACTTTTAAGGTCAAAGTTGCTCTAAATTAGGAAACGTTTTAATACTAGTTTAATCACAATTACATTGTATTTTGTTAATTATATATGATTGTTTGATATTGGTTTAATGATGTAGAAAATGACTTATTAATTAAAACTTATCTCTCTCCTGAATAAAAAAACATTCTCAGTCTATACAGACAAATTAATCTGCACAGATAAATTAATCTGCACAGACAACTTTACCTATATATGACTAAATGGAAAACAAACCAAACAGCTCTAGACTATATTTATTTGGGAATGGTTCAAACGAGAACACTTTTATTTTACAAAAACTCAAGAAAACGTTTTTTTTACTATAGTCAATTACATGTGATACCAAAACAGAAAAACACGTGACCCTTTGGCACGGGTCACATCGTCCGCACACCACCAGATCCCGTCACGTATATTATCATATATGATAAGGATGTTCTCACGTTTTCAGGTATTCTCATTTGAAACTGTTATTATATTTGTTAGTTTCATATAATTACATTTTTTTTGAATTATAGCATTTTTTGTTTTATTGTAACAAAAAAAAAAGGTTAGATGTTGAATTATTTAGTGTTTCATCATTATGATTCATGTTTGTTTATGTTGGAATTTTAAATTTCGAACACCTACTTTAAATGAAAATTAATGGTATAAAGCTACCAAAGGGATAAATGAACATTAAAAATAGAGATGAAAAGCTTAAATGCAAATGATGAAAATTACTATTATACCCTTTGATGTACTTTTTATGAGACCACAAGAACAACATGGGACATAATACCACAAACCAAATTTAAACATGTGAAATCGAAAGTATGAAAAGAAAGGAGAAAACGAAATAATAAAAACAAATAAAGAAAGGTGATGTGTGCAGCCCCACCAAACAAAAAAACAACATAAAAATGATAAATAAATAAAAAATATATGTACGATTTTATGTGTTGTTTTAATATAAAAACAACGCTCGTTTTTGTTGAATACCAAACATCTACAAAATTATTTGAAGCATTTTTGTAACTATAATTATCTGGATCAATTTATATGTATCCAACTGATTCTATTAGTGATTTATGAATAATTTGGAGTTGTCTCAGGTGTTTCCTCTATGTATGTTTGGTACATTGAACATGACAAAACAAAACATAGATCATTGTTCTATGTTTGACAGTATTTTTATGTGGAACGAACAAAGTGGAACATTTCTGTTCCACCCCAGGCTATGGAACAAGGTACTTAATTCTCTTCTAGAATACCAAATACATTTTTCTTTCTTACATTTTATTTATTCTTTAAATTTTATTTGTTGTATTATATGTTATTTAAACTTTCATTTTTCTGTTTTTTAAAATATTATTTTATATGATTTCTCTATTTTGATCAATTTACGTAATTTTTTAAATATTAATAATAAAACAGTTACATGGAAAAAATGTAAATAAAAATTGGAAACTACATAAACTTTTTATTTTGGTGTTCTTTTAGTCATCTACTCATCTTGATGAAAACTTTTCTAATCATATATTTTGTTATAAAAAATGTTTATTTTTTATAATTTAATAAATTAATCAAAATATATATAAACAACTTATTAAGATAATTTGGTCATTTTATATGTTATGTCATGTCTAGTTTTATCTTACTAAATATTGAACATATGTTATGTCATGTTCTGTACCATCTTATTTGGATATCAAACTTATCATCTATAGTCACAAAAATTTTGAGGAAAAATGAGATTTCTACTTCACCTCAAAAAAGTCTCAATAAACCAACTAAAATACTAGACTACTTTCAAGATATGTACGTCTTCTTTTATTATAGAGTAAATGACATTTTTGGTCCCTATAGTTTATGTGTTTTAATATTCTGAGTCCCTACTTTAAAATATATCTATGAATTACATCCACAACTTGTGGCTTCCATCTTATAACACATTGAGTGCCTAAATCCAACTCCATCCAAAATCTTCCAGTTAAAGTGGTCACGTGCACGGTGCACGGGTAAACGATGGATAGTTTGGTCATTTTATATATTTTCCTCATTCTATATTTAAAAAAAAAAAAACAACAACAACCACCAATAACATTTGCGATGTTTCCTCTTTCCTCTTCCTCTTCCTCTCCCTTTTCCCTTCCGTTTGATTATCACCATCAAAATCATGAACAGCAAGAAATCATATTGTCATCTGTCACCCTTCCTCTGATCAATCAAGAACATAGCATAACCCACAAACTCAAATACAAACACAAGAAATCAGCGTATGTTTAGTTTTTGTTGCAAACGTTGTATAAAACATAAGATAAACGACAAATTTTTACAAAAAACCAAAAACACCTGCTTCAAAAATCGGTAGGTAGTATCTTCTAAACCCAGAGCAGGTAGTGGCTCCTCCTGTGAAACCCCTCATCGCTGATAGGATGGGGAGAAAAGAAGGGAACGACAGTAGCTCTGGAAACCCCTCGTCATCTCGAATTCCCCGTCACAGATCTCGCTGGAAACGATAAATCTGTGTTCATCATCATAGATCTCGCTGGAAAGAGTAGGATATGTGTTCATCGGCTCAAATCTATTTGGAAACGGGCTAGTTTGTGTTGTTAGATGGTATCTGCTTTCTAGTAGCAGCACCATTCACCAATTCTGTTTCTTGTTTGTGTTGGTGGCGTTGTTTCAGGATGGTGTAGGGGAAGATGATGCCACGGTGATGGGACGAGGAACAATGGTCGAAAAAAATGGAGGGATGGTGTCGATGGGGATATGATAAGGCTTTACCGAAGGATGGGAGGAAAAGGCAGCGGCTTCACTGACGGATAAGAGGAAAAGCCGGTGCCGGTGCCTGTTCCATGTGGTTTTAATAGAAAATAAGACTAAAATACATTTTAGGTCCCTATAGTTTTAATAAAAAATAAAAATAAATTAAATGACTAAAATGTCCCTCTTAGTTAAGCCTTTTAACAGAAAGTTTTGACGGAATTAGATATAAGGATCCAATACATTATGAAATATAAACTGCAAGGGTATAATCCATAAATATATAAAATAGGAACTTAGAGTGTTAAAACACATAACCATAGAGATGAAGAATGTAACTTACTCTTTATCTATATTATATTATAAAGTATTTAACAAAAACTCTTACAAACAGTTTTTTATGCATGAAGTATTGTATATTGATACATATTACTTAAAATTCAAGATTACAAGTAATTATGCATAAATACAACTTATCAAAGCTTTATGTGTTGAATTCGTGCAACTAACTGCGGATAAACATAATCAAATAGAGAATAAACATATCATTTTAAAATATAATTAGAATAATTATCGATTCTAACAAAATAATTAGTTATTATCATTATAAAAAAATTATATTATTAAACCAAATATAAATTATTTCGTTATTAAACCTAAATTAAAATTATAATAAAAAATTGAATTAAAAGATTACACAAAAAAATATAAATTTTAAATAGTTAATTTGATACAAATATCGATATATTTTTGTTAAATTTTTATGATATCTTCAAATTTATATTTTATTTAAAAATTAAAACATCATCGCTTTTTCAAAAATCACATAAAACAATATTATAACATCGACTGAGATAAAGAATAAAATAAAATATTAAAATCAAGATATGTCTCGCTGCATTGAGCAAGTACCATTCTAGTTATATAAAAATGTATTTTATTAATTTATTGTAGGTGGTTTATCAAATTTATTTGTTCTTGGATATTGCTTAAAGAAATAAAAATAAAAATATAACTTTTAAATAACTAAAATTATTAAAAATTCATTAATATTAATATGATTAAAAAACAATTCAAATTGTTTGAAATAAAAATACAATGGTTGAACCACCAAGCTTTTCTTTCAAGGGTGGATATATAAAAAACTAACAAGTGATCAAATAAATACTCCACTTAAGTGAATATTGTAAGCTCTAACTAACTTCAATAATTCTTGAATAAATCTATATACCTTAAATTCATTTAATATTTAACATTTAATAATAATAAATTTATATCTTGACCAGTAGCAGGACACATGTCTTTAATTGGGATGGTTGTATTTAAGGAGAAGTGGAAAAAATAAATCTTTAACATAATGGACTAAGTTTTACCTACCTAAGAGATATATAATCATAGCAATTGGTTGAGTTTAATGGGAAAGAGTGAAAAATCTCATCCACCCTGGATTCGAATTGAGATATTGTTAAATTCCTTGTGGTAATGGAGGTTCACATTCAATGACTCCAGACCATTTGTGATCGTCTGAGGGATTAGTCGGTATTTGTAAGCTAGTCTGAAAACTCATAGTTACCAAAAAGAACTTGAAATTTATACTCATTCGACTGTAAAATTTTAGCTAAAATTTTGTCTAAATCTATTGTTTTTGGGTTTTAAGGTGTTATAAATGGTATCCGAGTTAATTTCTTGTACCATCCAGATGGTAGGGCAAACCTCATTGAGTACGATGAGTATGTGGGGAAGGGGGGGGGGAGTGTTCATATTTAGGTAAAATTCATATCGCCAATGAACAATAAAGATAATAGGTAGTGATAACGAGGATGTCAATAACTTAATTGAGGGAATTTGTAACAATTTATCACAAATTTATAAATAAATAAAAATTATTAGCTGTGTATAAACCCCAAGTTAGAGTGTTAGACATTATTAATAACTTCTACTATGATTATGGGTGTTTAAAAAACCCCGTTGTGCCGCTCAAACTTGGCAAACCAAATCGAATTGTACCATTTTTGGTGGTTTKAGCAGTTTGAGCGATCTGACTTTGAAAAATAGTTAAACCGTTTGGTTTGGTCTGCGATTTGAACTTTTTTTTGAGTGGTTTGGGCCGAATCGACTGCCAAAAATACACAAGTGTTAATTATATGTGGCTTAATGTTGTAGGCTCAATTTTTATCATCCAATTATAAAAAGGTCCGTCGTAGATACTGTATTTTTAGTTTTCATTTCTCAACTAACCGTGTTATTTAAATTGACAAAATCCTGAAATCTGTCAAAAATCAATTAAAAAAAATCCAAATCGTCATTCGACTTGCTCAATGTTTATCCTTCCAACTATTATTACCAGACTTATTTAACTTTTTTTCAATTTCAGAGATACAAGTTTTTTTTTATAATTATGTACACTACTTTTTTAATAATGTTATATTGGTAGAAGTTTCATCTTGGATATAGATTTATGTGTTTTTGATTTTAAGTCCATAAAAGGTCCAAACCGTCTAAAACGGTCAGGTTAAACCGCCTTTTGTGGTCCGATTTGACCGTTGTGGTCAATCGCAACCAAACCGCTCGGTTTTGAAATCTTTTAAACTACCATTACGATTTATTTTGTGGTTTGCGGGATTAAACCGCCCAAACCAGATGGAGAACACCCCTAACCATCATTTTTAAGCTGAATTAAAACTCAATGGATTGGTCTATCGTTTTAGGTTTCAAAATATTACAAACAATAGACTTACAAATTCTTACAATTTTTTTCTTAACAAAGTGTTATCGTAATCTTCCTATGAGAATGAGAATTATGTTGAGAATAGTAAGAAAAGGATCTCCATCCACCATCCTTATATCAATCATAATTGAAGAGTTCCACTACATCAACACTAATGAGAAACATCAGATCAATTCTCTTTTAAGACATAATTCATGGGTTGATTTAAGATAAAGAAAAATAATGAAGGGTCGAAATCCGTTCTTACATTTCTCACAGTTAACTCATATCCTCACTCAATCATTTGTCTAATAATTTAATAGATATTTATATAATAAATTAAATTAACGTTCTTTTAATTTTTCATGTTTTTAAAATTAAAAAATATTCGACTACAAGTATTTATCTCCTTTTGTTGACAAATTACATTTTGCTCCCTTTTTCTTTTGTCTCGATATATTGAATTCCATCCTCACATTTGAGATAACCTTAATATCTACAAATAAATAATGAAAATTGTTCCAAGAATTTAAGACAATTAAAATGGGGATTATGCTTATTGCTTAAGAAGGTTAATTACCTAATTTTGTTTCCAAACCTTAATTAGTGGCAACAAAACCTTCTTAAAATGACCGATGCCTTCGCCCCATTTTCATAACAACAATTTAAACGGACCTTTTTTGGTTCGGAATTGTAAACATCAGATCGGTACTATTAACATATGATTTAAAATTTTAATTTATATCTTAAAAAATTATATTTATAATTTTATTCAATCCCTCAAATTAAACTAAAATATACCCTTTTTTGTTTTATTTAAATAAAAAATATTTACTTTTAATTCTAAAAAGTTGCTTTTTTTGTTTTAAGATTTTATTTTTGATTGGCTAAGCCAAGAAAATATTAAAATAATTATTTTATATTTATTTTGGATTTATGATATCATAATTATTCTAAATAGTCTCTTTATGATGTCATCTCTTACCCTCTTTTCATTAGTGCTTGATTATTAAACAAGTCAAGTGCAAAATACTTACTAATTTGTAATATTTTTATTTAATTAATAAAATAAATATATCTCCTTTTTCTCTACACCTTCATGTCTGGTTTCGTTTGAACCCATATTCTGCTTCATCTTTATTCGTCATTTCTATTGCTTCATCAGTTATTGAGTTGTATATCTGAGTATTTAGTAACGTACTGATAAATATGTTTATAGTAGTCCTATATTCTGGCAAGGATATGTGATTGAGCTATTGTTTTCTATATGTTCAATTTTTCTTGATAAAGCTATATAAAACTGCAACAGGATAATGAAAATACTCATTATAACGAATATGTGTGTTACGAAGCCGTTCATTGTTTATTTGACAAACAAAACATATATTCCATGTCGTAATTGATGGCACAAGCATAACATGCACTCGAAGATGTGATACAAAACCACCCCAATACCAATATCAAATTCTTGACATTCAATCGTAAAAATCCAAACCAAATCTGAAGAATTTTGTGTTTGTCATTAACTCTTAGAATAAGATACCTTAACAAGAAATGGATTTGATGAAGCCATGAAAACACACGTCAATGTCTTATTTAAAGATATAGATGGTTTGAGAAGACAATCAAGAAATGCTTAAACTGTATTGGTCCAATATGCAATACATATACGAGAGCGATACGCCCCATGCGGGCATGAGAATTTATCGTAACAAAAAGAACCATCGTAAGAGACCTTTACCAACCTTCAAAGAATAGTCTTCTATAAGGCAAAAGAATTATCTAAAATCAGCTATGTATAACAAATCAATTTAAAAACAGATCGAATTTCTTTAAACAAGATATGCTATGTATATATAAGTATATTTAAGTTTCAAGTCAAATTTTATCTCCAACAAATTATCTAAAATAGAGAAAACGAGGCTTTCATTCTCAATTTTGCTCTAACAGATCCTCTACACCGTTCTCTAAATTAAAGAAAATTAGATAAAACTCCAAGTTTAGAAAATTTTCTAAAACTTGATGTGAAGACTTTATTATTGGTATATCAATCGGTCCAACACAGATTGAAATAGGAGCCGAACCCTTAAAAGGTCTCAGTGATTCTCCAATTTTGAAGAAAAATATATTATTATTTTTATTCATAGCTACCAATGAGATTGAATTATTATTATTTAATAAAATTTATTTTTAAAATATATATATTAATATAATAAATCTACAAAATATTTTCATAATATAATAAATATTGAAATCTCTAAAATAGACAATATCCAAAAGTTAAATATAATTGTTTTTAAAGATGTTAGACTTTTAGTTTTTTATTTTAAAGAAATTATAAAAAATCTGTTAAAAATACTATCAGATAAGTTTTTGAAGTAAAAAAAAGAAAAATAAGAACATCTCAAACAACTAAACTATATAACATGATTATTGAAAAATAATAGTGGAGGACTATTTATATGATATTTAATATTGGTAATAAATACAATAAAAAAATAAAAATAAAAATAAAAATAAAAAGTGGAGTGATGGTAGTGAGCCCACAACTAATACTAAATATTAACTATTCTTTATTATACACACAAAACACCCCCTGTTGACTCCACACGAACTCTCTGTCAGTCTCTTCCCAAAATTCCATTTCCAAATTTCTTTTTTTAACCCAATTTTAGATCACCGGAGCCACCACCTCCACCTCCACCTCCTTCCCTTTCCACCAAAACACAAATTATGCTGCTTCGAAATAAACCCAAGATTCGATTTTTCAAGCACACCCCTCCCTAGAATTCCATTTTCGTTTTCATTTTCACTTAATTAACCCACTGGTTCAAAAAAGTTTGAGGTTTTTTGGCTGCAATAATGGCGGCCGTCACCAATACAGCCACCACCCAACAACCACAGTCTCAACCGGCCAACACAGCCATTGCTCAACTAGTGCCGGTACCATCATCCGAGTTAACCACCGATGAGATGGCTGTTAAAGCTGTTCATAAACGATATGAAGGTCTGGTGATGGTACGGACGAAGGCGATCAAGGGTAAAGGAGCTTGGTATTGGGCTCATCTCGAACCGGTTTTGGTTCCAAATCCCGATTCCGGTTTACCGAAAGCCGTCAAGCTCCGGTGTTCTCTATGTGAAGCCCTTATTGAAGTCTTTGGTTACAAACGGTCATATGACTGAGTCTGTTTAGATTTGAATAAGTATTTTGAATTAGTCCTAGTTGTTCCTATTTCTTAGCTGATAGTTTGCTGTTCTGTTTCCTGTGTAAGCCTATAAAAAGGCAGCTTGATTTATTGAATAAAGTATCACATTTCAGAGTCAAATTGTGCGTATTATCACCTGGTTTTAACAGCCCTTTTCTCCGCTTCCAATCCGTCGAGAACGGCGTCGGAGCATCTCAAAAGAGGAACTTGCCCGAATTTTAACTCTGAATGTAGTCCAAAACCGATTTCATCCATTTCGCCGGCGGGAATGGTGAATTTATCTTCTCCGACTTCATCTTCTTCGCCTCAGCCGCTGCAAAACCACCGCAAACGTAGCTCCTCCGGCAACCGTAGTGGCCGCGACCGTGGCGGTGGCGGCGGTGGGTTTAAGATTCACGCCTCCACCGGTTCTGAAACCACTTATTCCGTTGCTCCTCTTACGATGATTGAACCACCAAGATTCTCGGTGGATGTTTCTTACCCGGCCCGGCCCGATTCAGTTCCTGCATTTTCAGCTGCGACGGTTGTGACTGTTAGCAGCGGCGGGTTGTACTCTCCCCACCACCACCATCACCACCACCAGCAACCGGTGGTGTTATCAGGTGGCAAAGAAGATTTAGGTCATTTAGCTAAACTAGAAGATAGTGTAAAGAAGCTAAAAAGTCCGAAATCATCACCGGGTCAAACTTTAACCCGAGCTCAAATCGATTCATCATTAGAATTATTAGCAAATTGGGTGTATGAAAATTGTGGGTCAGTTTCATTTTCAAGTTTAGAGCATCCAAAGTTCAAGAATTTCTTGAACCAACTCGGTTTACCGGCGATAACCCGGCGAGAACTCGCCGGAGAAAGACTCGATGCCAAGTACGAAGAGGCAAAAACCGAATCCGAAGCTCGAATTCGCGATGCAATGTTCTTCCAAATCTCATCAGATGGGTGGAAATCAAAGAACCATAACAATAGTAATCATCATCATTCAGGTGAATTCGAAAATTTGGTGAATTTATCAGTGAATTTGCCTAATGGGACTAGTGTTTTCAGAAGAGCTGTTTTTACAGGTGGGTATGTTTTTTCTAAGCAGGCTGAGGATGTTTTATGGGAAACAATCGTCGACATTTGTGGGAATAATTATCAACAATGTGTGGGTATTGTTTCTGATAAGTTCAAGACTAAAGCTTTAAGGGATCTTGAAAACCAACATCAATGGATGATCAATCTTTCTTGTCAATTTCAAGGGGTTCATAGTTTGATTAAAGATCTTAGCAAAGAACTACCATTGTTTCACAATGTGACTGATAATTGTTTGAAAGTTGCAAACTTTGTGAATACCAAATCTCAAGTTCGACATTCTTTTCTCAAATATCAGTTGCAAGAATACGGTCGAGCGGCATTGTTGCGAGTACCGTTTTGTCGTGGTGGCGGGAGGATTGATTTCGAACCGGTTTTTGATATGGTGGAAGATGTGTTGAGTTCAGCTAGAGCTTTGCAACTGGTTTTTCTTGATGATAGTTATAAAATGGTGTCAATGGAGGATCAAATTGGGAAGGAGGTTGAAGAGATGATGAGGTCTCAGTTTTGGAACGAATTAGAGGCGGTTCATTCGTTGGTTCGATTGATCAAAGGAATGGCTCAAGAAATCGAGAAAGAAAAGCCGAGAATCGGGAATTGTTTGCCGCTTTGGGAGGAACTTAGAGTGAAAATCAAGGAATGGTGTGGGAAGTTTCATATCAATGAAAACCATGTAGACAAAGTGTTTGATAAAAGGTTTAAGAGAAACTATCACCCTGCTTGGGCAGCTGCATTCATTCTTGATCCTTTTTATCTGATTAGGGACACAAGTGGGAAATACTTGCCTCCTTTCAAATGCTTGACTTCCGAACAAGAAAAAGATGTCCATAAGCTTATAACGAGGCTCGTTTCACGAGAAGAAGCTCACATTGCTTTAATGGAGCTCATGAAATGGAGAACAGAAGGGCTCGATCCAGTTTACGCACAAGCCGTTCAGTTGAAACAACGAGACCCAATAACCGGTAAAATGAAAATAGCTAACCCACAAAGTAGCAGGTTGGTTTGGGAAACTTATTTAACCGATTTCAAATCTTTGAGGAAAGTCGCAGTGAGATTGATCTTTCTTCATGCCACTTCATGTGGGTTCCAATGTAATACATCTTTATGTAGATGGGCGCAATCGAGAACCGGGATCGAAAAGGCACAGAAGTTGATATTCATCGCTGCCCATTCAAAGCTCGAACGACGGGATTTCTCGAACGACGAAGAGAAAGATGCCGAGTTTTTCTCGTTAACCAATCGAGAGGATGATGTACTCAATGAGGATTTGTTTGATGCATCCTCTTTGTGAGATCCCAATCCTTTTCTTGCTTTTGATGATTATAATCCATAGTTTATGTAGGATTTTTTTTTTCTTGAGATTCTTTTCACTTCTATTTGGGTACTTGTTTAATTGCTCTTTTAGAAGATTTTGGCACCTTTGATCGTTATAGAAAAAGGGGTCATCTTTTAGGTTTTGATCATATTTCTTTGGAGGTTCAAATGGGTATTTTCTTTTTTGTTTGATGAGTACGAGGAATCAATATCAAGATTTGAAGATTGTTGCACCATTTCTTAAACCATTTTGGTAACCAAGGAAACCTCCAATTTTACTGAAAAAAGAACGGTAAAATGCTGGAGAGGGAAGAGAAACGACATATACGTTGTGCTGCTGTTCAAAACCGCATATATGCCGTGTGGTTGGATTTGAAAGGATTTTTGGTACCGATGACCCCACCAATTTGGTGTTTTTCTATGCCAGAGTTGAACATGGTTTAAAAGCATAGATTTCCTAAGATTTTTAACCATCTGTGTCTCTTTATGGTTTTGATTCTTGTTCTGTATTGATTTTTAAATGTTATAATTAACAATTCATGCTCATATTAATATTGAGAATAAGTTTTCCAATTTGGCAATGTGTTTTGCAACATGTACACGAGGTAGAACCGTAGAAGAGAACACAAACCTTGGAAGGACTTAAAATGCAAAATGTTGTAAATGAAGGGACTAAATTTGTATTTTTGTCAACTTCATTTCCATCCAACTAAACCCAACTAACAATCCTTTTTTTTGAATTTTAATTTTCGTATTTTATTTTATTTTATTTCTAAGAAAAAAAAAGTACCATATGTTATTAATAAATGAGACGTCATTTTCATATATAAATACAACATGAGAGAAACTTGTTATTTTATTCTAATTTGCTTTCACATTAAATGTTTTTATTATGTACGTTTTATAAAGTATAACATAAAAGAAACCATTGAGTTGTTATGAAATTAAGGTTACTGCATTTGCTTCGTTTTTGTTATTACTATTTTTTACAGTTCATTCTACTGTGTGTGTGTATATATATATATATATTAATGTTGAGTAGTTTTTACATGGAAAAATACAAATTATTAAATGAAGAGAGTGTTAATAAATAAAAATAAAAAGGAAAAATGTGTTGGTAATAAAAAATAGTATTTTAAGAGGACTAAAAGTGAAGGAATGTGAAAGTGGTGGGGCATGATTGCGAGGAAATAAAGGTTTTTAGGACCAAAAGCAGAAGAAGACTGTCGGCATGAAGCAACACACAAAGATGCTCTCGTTCCTATTTTACGTTATAACACCATTTTCCAATTTCAATTTCATTTTTTTATTACTATTTTATTTTCTTCACGTCCTCCTAAAAATCAATTATTTAAACCGTCCAATCAAAACATCCGCCCACTTTGATTTGTTTTTATAACGTTGCGGTTTGATTTTGGAAAAAAAATATATACATTCATGATACGTTTTAATAAGAGACTAAATTGGTTAAAGAAAAGATTCATATGTAAATTATTGAAAAAATTAATTTGAATATGTATACATAAACTCATATGATTAGTTGGTGTATATACACCTCTTCAAATATACATATTTTTCCAATACTTGACATATGAATAATCTCGTAAATTTTTTTCCTTACATTCTTACATTATTATACTTAACTGACCCGCATACACACACATGTATAGAGAGAGAGCGAGAGAGAGCGAGAGAGAAAATTTCGGTTGCAAATTGAATCTAAGTTGTGAACCAAGAGACAAGGAAAACGCAACATTGGGTGTCTATATTCACCATGAATAATAAATGTGAACATTCGTGAACTATTCATGATGGATAATACATCATTTATGATCCATAATAAATTGAGACACTATTCACAATGTAAATTTGGTTTGCAACCGAAAACCACCCATATATGTGTGAGGGGAAGATTCAAATAAGAAGACTAAATATCGTGATAAAATAAGAAGGTGAAAGTTCATATGTGAATCATTGAAAAAAACTCATTTGAAGATGCATAAATGAACACATACAAAGATTTTTTACAATAATTCACATATAAGCTTTTCTTTCTGATAATTTTTTTTATTTGAACCTCCTAATACAGATTATTTTAAAGATTAAAAATTATATTAATTGATCTAATTTTTTTATGTGTGATTATGCTTAGCTAGTTATTACATTTATGTATAAGCTATACATGAATGTAACAATTGCCCTACTTAAACCAAATGTTATGTTCCGGTGAGAAGTGAAGTTATGATCTTCACTATTTGATTAATCCTAATTGAATGTCAACACTAATGAGGTGCACCAGATGAATTATCTTCTAAAGCGTAATTCATGAGTGAAAATGAGATTAAAAGTGATCAAAGATGCAATCTTTTCTTACGCTTCTCATTGTAACTTACATTCTTACATGATCTTTCGCCCTTGAACCAAATAGTTTTGTTAATTTATTTTAACAGCCTTAACCATCAATAAACTACTGAAAACAAAGTTAAACTTTTGCCAATACGACAGAAACCTGTTCATAGTAATCTTCACGCCTTTAATTCAAATATTACACTCGGTGTTATTTAGCAAATTACCAAAAATGAAATAATCAACAAACAATCAAAAGTACATCTTTCGGAACCGAAACTCATAAAACTTTTAGAAGTTTCTTGGATTTTGGCTTTTTATGTGTGAGCTAAACTTTTACTCTTACTTTTCTTGTGATACTTAAAGAATTGTGTGTAGTTTTTAACAAGTTGTTGGGTGATTTCCATTTGGAAATCTTTTTAAAACAAACTGTTCGTCTTTGGATACTTCTTTTATCAAAAACGTCTTTAAAAAAGTGTATTGAAACAGCAAAATAATGTTGTAATTTTTTACTTTGGGAAAAAGTCATAAAGTACATAACCAATCAATGAGAAATACATGTATGTTTTTAGACCAGATTTATGTCGATGTCATCTTCACATGTGAATCTGTAGTTTTACTCTTTTTTCGCGTATATTGTTTATATTATTTTTTGAAACAAAAAATATAACGTTATTTAATGCGTAAAAGCATATGTGGTTCTCGGCAAAATCCCGTTTGTTTCTATTTGAAGATTTTAAACCACTATCTTTTTACATGAAACGTTCGTCTTTGGATACCTATTTGTTTGAAAGCATCTTTTCGCAAGAAATAACATCTATAGATAAAGTGTACTAACATGGAAAGATGCTATATTTTTTTCTTTTACAAAAAAAAGAAAGTTATGTATAGTAGACGTACAACGTTTCAGATATAAATGCAAGAATATTAATACCCTAATTCGCTAAACCTTGCCTTAATGTGTGCATCTCGCGTTGCTAATTTTTAAAAGATAATGACGAGTCGTTATGCGAAAACCCAAAAACAACGAACTAGTGATTAAGGGTGACGACTCTTACCCGGTAAATTATTGTTTACAGTAACTTTTTGATGAATTACAATCTTACCTGATAAAGTAAGTTAAAGCATTGACTCTTACTAGCAAACACTTACTTTAAATATCTTTTTTCACGAATGCTATTGAATTTGAGGCGCTTTAAGTTTATTGTATTAGACTGGTTAATGTTATTTTCACGAGTCAATTACAAAATATTTTCATGCCTGCTAATTAATTAATTATAATTTCAAATCATTGAACAGTCAACATTTTTTAATCATAATTGTTATCATTTCAGCAATAAATCTTTACCTGATTTGTCATGGCATATGACATCTCTCTTGTCGTTTATTTAAGAAATAACTGGTTGATTTATTGTGTTTATAAGTGATTGACAAGAAAAAAAAAGAAGTTTTTGATTGGATCTTAGAAATGATTTTATATTTGTTTAGAAGTAATTATTTAAGTTTCTTGAAGAATATATATGTTGAGAGAGAGAGAGAGAGAGAGGATATTTAACGAAAATCCTCTAAAAAAATGAGAAACATTCTCATAATCATTCATTTATACGACATGTACATGTGTATATAAGTAATTGAACATGTGTTTCAGGTTTTAATGTATATGCGTATATCGAACAAATTACTTATATATACATGTAGTTACCTTACAAACGAATGATTATTAGGATGATCTTCAGTTTTTCATTTCTTGTGGTTCTCCCCTTGAACCTAACCATATATATGTGTGTGTGTGTGTGTGTGTGTGTGCATATGGATCTTCTTTTAGAAACTCATGAAATTGTGATAACCTTGAGAACTTGTGCATCATGTGTTATTTCATATTTTTTTTATCTAAAACTAGAATTTGGAATATTGGTTAACATATATTTGTTTCACATGTACTCGGGTCACAATGTGAAACTTTTGGGAGTATTTGTGAAACAAAAAATACACATATAAAGTTTCATTTCGTTAACTAAGTACATGTGGGACAAACACACCGTGAAACATATATATATATATATATATATATATATATTAATCAATACATTAAATATTATCATGAGATAGAAAAGAATCATATAAAATAGTACTTGATGCATAAGTTCTCAAGGTTATTACAATTTCATAAGTTTCTCAAATGATTAAGTCTTATATATATATATAAGATTTTTCTTTTGAGAACTCAAGAAATTGTGATAACCTTGAGAACTTGTATATCATGTGTTATTTCATATGATTTTTTTTCAATATAAAACTATGATTTAAAATATTGATTAACATATATTTGTTTCATAATGTGTTTGTTTGACATGTCCTAAGTTCATAATATGAACTTTTTTTGCGTGTTTATTAAACATAAAATACATGTAAAAAACAAACACATTGTGAAAGAAATACATATAAAACAAAAGCATTGTGAAACAAATATATGTTAACTAATACATTAAATATTATGCCTAGATAGAAAAAACCATACTAACACATGATGCATAAGTTTTCAAGGTTTTCACAAATTCATGAGTTCTCAAACGATTAAACCCCTATATATATAGGGTTGGATTCTTGTGAGAATTGAAGTTATGATGAGAATGATAAGAAGAGATCTTCACGCTTGAATCAATCTGGTTAAAGATCAACTAGGAACGGACCCATTTTTTTTCAAACGATAGCATCATTGGATTATAAAAACCAAATATATGGAAAAAAAAAATCAAATAGTGGCACTATTTGACTATAAAACAAATATAAAGAATTTTTTTTCAAACGGTGGATCATGACTAAGAAAATGACACTAATATGGTTCAAAC